GGAGAGAGAGAGAATTATTAATATTTATTTTTTAGTTCTTGGCAGACACAACATCTTTGTTGGTATGTAGTGCTGAGGATCGAACCTGGGTTGCACGCATGCCAGGCGAGCGCGCTACCGCTTGAGCCACATCCCCAGCCCTTATTCTTCACTTTTGAAATTCATGTGAAATCTATATTATGTGTAGTAATATGTAAATAGGTTGATTATGTTATTTTCTAATCAAATCTGGATACTTTTCAGAGTGAATGGAAAAACATTAAGTTTAAGATGCTGGGACAACAAGTGTAAGTGAGGTCTATCCCAAACACTTTAGGATATATATCATTCTAAACTTGAATATTATTTTCTTTTTAAATGGAAAGTATACGTACCACTTATTATATAAGTTATTTCCTCATGAATTGTGACGGCAAATCTGTCATATGCTAAGTTACTCTACACGTGTACTCTCTGTCAACACAGAGTCAAAATATGAAGCAATATAGAGGAATTCAACTGGAAAATACCATGAAAAATTAATGTGTCTTTTCCCCCCCTGCTTACTTATAGGCCTGTTGGTTATGTCTTTTACAAGTCTTATTTTTTTCCTCTGAGAAATATATAATTTCATCACAAGAGATTCTAATTTTTTGTCATTTTAATGTTATTATTTAAACTTTCCCCTTCCAGGATCATATGAAGATAGCACAATTCTAACTATAGCAGGCTCTGGATTTTCTCCTAGCTCAGCTGTATCAGTCTCAGTTGGACCAACTAGTTGTTCTCTTCTTTCTGTGAATGGTAGGTTCTTTTAAAAATTATGAAGTCTTATTGTTCTTCTTTGAGAGAAATTAGAATCAAATAGCAGTTTTACAAATATGATCATCATGTAGTGTATCCTATGGAATCACAAAGTTGGCAACCCGTTCTGGATAATGCCATATCTTTTTACCTTTGATTATGACCACAGGCAAATTATTTCATTGATATACAACATCTTTACCTCATAACAGTTGATTTTTGGTTTATTTGTCTTTTTTTTCCCATCACAAAGTAGTTACATAAGATACTTCTTAGATTGTTTTGTCTGGAGGCACAAAAGTGTTCTGAGTTCTACCGTAGTCTATCATGGTCTTCTCTGCCTGTATTTTGACAGTGTTATATTATTCATGCAGCAAGAAGATGTGGCCATCTTCCCTGAATTCTACTACAACAGACTTCTCTCCAGTGATGCAGAAGTTATATATCATTCACAATGTCTACCTCTTGAAATTGGGAGGTCCATAGCTATTTCTCCAAAAGTTATCTTTCAAGATCCTAGGTGTTTTCCATAATTTTAATAGATTAGAATTATGCAGATTGGAATCATTTCTGTTGTCCTTAATTTAAATCTACTATGAACTTTTGAGGTCAAATACTCGATATTGTATCTATATTACAGTTTACATAGACTATTCTAAATAAAGTGAACAACATTGTTTTCATTAAGGTTTATTTGTCTCTTTTATTAATAGAATGTATTATTTTACTCAATTTTTGACATAAACAGTATGCTGTAAAACTTTAGAATCATTCATATAAATGAGATCACTAATTAAGATTTTTTAAATTATGACAGTAATTTTCTTTGGCTACAGTAGCATCAAGGGAAGATTGTTTGCTTTCATTACTGATTTTCTAGGAGTGTCTGATTCATAGCATCAGGTAGTTGGCAAAGATTTTTCCCTCCATGATTCCCCTAGACCATTAATATATGTATAGTATTCTTTATACACATTTCCTAGGATCTAAAAATTAAGGCCAATGTTAATATGTGCAAATAAAATTTCAAATAATTTTATCTCAAAAAACTATTTTTTAATCATTTCTTCTTTTTCTATCACAAGAAAATGAGATCAAGTGCCAGATTCTGAATGGAAGTGCTGGACATGTACCAGTTGCTGTGTCCATAGCTGATGTTGGACTAGCACAGAATGTAGAGGGTGAAGGATTCCACTTCATTTATGAGAGTCGGATCTCACACATCTGGCCTGATTCTGGAAGCCTGGCAGGTAATAATAAATAGTTCTCAACAGAGAAAATCTCATACATTTACACATTTTATTGTGCTGTTTTTAGTACAGAGCAAAGGGAAGGTAACCAAAAACTCCCTCATATAGAACAAAGGAGAGTCTCCTTTAGAAGGCACAGTGATTAAATGGTTGACTAATTCTTTTGTTTCTTATGGAGCACAAGTCAGGGTGACTGCTTATACTTACATCTTAGGTTATTGAATTAATATCATCAATTATTACATGTTTCTATAACAAGCTCATTAATTATGTCAGCATAAGATTTATTAGTAATTATTCTGCTTACCAGCTGCTCCATTTGTAACCATAGTCTCAATGGAGCTACTTGACCCAGAAAAAGTTCCTGGAACACATGGGGCAAAGGAAGGCTGACAAAGAAGATGGAGAGAAAATAACACATTCTTCTTGTCCTGCTTCATTTCCTCTGTATTTTTTGTTGTTGTTGTTGTTGTTTGTTTGTTTGTTTTTACCATGCCTTATTTCAGGTTTTGTGCTTTGGTTTTGATTTTTTTGGTGTTCTTAAAATATTATTTTTATTTTATTGAGTGTTTTTTTCCTGGATTTTCTTTTAGTTGGAGGTATTAAAAATTTGGATTTGGTGAGAGGCTTCATTTTCCACCCATGGAAAGATTAAGTAAATAGAAACAATAGACTTTCTCTTTAGAATGAAGAAAGTACTGTGGAAAATGATAGTTGCTGCTAATTATGCCCCAGAGCAAATGTGGGTTGCAAATCTGTGCTACTTATCTTAGTCCCATTCCTTTAGAATTCCAGGCTTCAGAGCCCAGACTCAGGTGTGTGATGGTGAACAAACAAGTCTTTATTCTGGTTCTTGATCTATTTGACTGCCCAGCTCTTAGATAACTGGACAGTTTTCCAATGATGAGATAGATGTTGCCAAAATTTCTTCTTGTTTTCGTTAATCTGCTTTTTGTTTTCTTTATAAAGGTGGTACTCTACTGACAGTATCTGGATTTGGCTTTAGTGAAAATTCAAAGGTTTTAGTTGGAAATGAAACCTGCAGTGTGACCGAAGGGAATTTGAATAAGATAACTTGCAGAACACCAAAAGTAAGCCCCCTGATTTCAGTTTTTTTCCCTCTAAGTTAAAAATCTTAACATCTGGGCAGAGGGTGAAACAAGTGAATTATTTTCTAAAAATTGTAGTTTCCATTTTGCTTTTTTAAGAATTATTTGTTCGGGGCTGGGGGATGTAGCTCAAGTGGTAGCATATTCGCCTAGCATGCATGAGGCACTGGGTTTGATTCTCAGCAGCACCACTAAAAAATAAAATAAAGATATTGTGTCCCCCTAAAAAACTAAAAAATAAATATTTTTTAAAAAGAATTATTTCTTCAACATCTTCCTGCCAAGATTTTAAGACAAAATACCATCTCAACATTCTAGGTACTTAAAAATCATGAAAAAGAACACACAAACCAATATTAATTAAACTTAAACAATGTGTTCCAGTGGAAATATTAGTAGTAGATACAAAGTAAAGATAAAATATAGTGGAAAGGGTGTGTCAGAAAAACATTTCATTGAAAAGTTAGTGTCCTGTTATTATTTGAAGATACATAGAAGGTTACTATGTAAACCAAAAGGTGAAAAAAATCAGTATTTACAAATATTCTAAAAAATTCACAAGAAAATGTAGAAACTTTTAATTTTTAAAAAGAAATATATTTTTAAATGTGTTTAAGTTTGTTGACAAAAATGTGACTTTTTCATGGAATATGAAAATGTTAGGCCAATAATGATTCTTTATTTTTAAAACTAATCTTTAAATTTAAACAAAGGCTCTAGTTTGCCAATTATGTACAAAAGGATAATGAATTTAGTCATGGACATAAAAAATGTAACAGAGTAAATGGGGTTATTACATAGTTGTGATCTGTAAAAAATAAATGAGTGTATGCTGGACTGAATGATGGAGATAAGAATCTGAGGGATATGATGAATTAAAATTTACTTTCTTTCAATTTTGGCATTCAGCTACATGCTAAATATGCAATAAATAAACACCAGATGATTGAAATAACTGTTTTTCCTGATTGGGAATTGCATAGATATTGTATCAATGAAAGCACCAAATATTTTTTTTTTGAGAGGTCCAAGTGTTTAGTGTTGGATTCTCAAACTAGATTAGCAGAAGATATAATAATGTGATTTTCGAATGAAATAGAATAATTGCATTTGAGTCTATTCCAAGAACAAAAAGGCACAACTTTTATTTAGTATCTTATCCTTAATCAAATAGAGAAGCACTTGTCCAGAGCATCTCAACTTCATTGTGGAACCCTCAAAATCCAATAATACAGATTCTTTTAAGTTGATCATAAAAATCACTGTGTTATATATCTTGATAATTCAAACATATAATCTATATTTGATGTCATGGTTTTTTAAATATCTGAAAACTGACTCATGACTTTTAAACATAAAAATTTCAGAAGTTTGTTTTAATTAATTCTATTTTTTTCAGACAATGAATTTCTATCACATTCAACATTTAGTATTTCTTAATTGTTTTATTTTTTCCTTTTGTTTTAGAGAATTGAGGGTACAGTTGATATTTCAGTTATTACCAATGGATTTCAAACCACAGCAAAGGATGTTTTCAGTTATAATTGTTTACAGACTCCAGTTATAACTGATTTTAGTCCAAAAGTACGAACAATTCTAGGTAAGAAATCTTTTAATAAGACCAGTTATTTGACATATATAGAGAAACCACTTCCAGAAATTCCTTCAAAGCACAGTCTTATGCAGTTTTGTTTCTTAAAATAAGTAAGTCACAGTTTGTTTTTCATCTTTCTTTTTTAATATCAATTTTCTATTTATAATTTTACTTTTAATATTTGCAACATGGAGAAAATTATTATTGTTTTAAAAAGTACTTTATCTTTTTTTCCTTGTGAAACAGTTAAACCTGAGTTTTATCTTCACATGACAGCCATCTACTTTTTTCTTGTTTCTCCATTTACCTCTGATAGAGTTAGGTTTACCTACATCTAATGAAAGAAAAGAGAATTGAGTTGACTTATTTAATATGCAAATTTCACACTGGATAATAAATTGAAACCTTCTGCAAAAGTTTTTTTTTCTTCTGAAATAATAGGAGATGTTAATTTAACAATTAAGGGTTATAACTTTGGAAATGAACTCACGCAAAACATGGTGGTGTATGTTGGAGGAAAACCCTGCCAGGTTCTTCACTGGAACTTCACAGATATTCGATGCCTTTTGCCTACATTGTCTCCTGGAAAGCATGATATCCATGTAGAAGTCAGAAATTGGGGCTTTGCATCAACAAGGTATGGTAATGAACATAAACTTGGTAGAGTTGGAGAACACATAGGGCTAATAGAATTGGAACAGGAAAATAAATAATCTTTAATCTTTAATATATTAATTGCTTTTGTTGCCTTTATATATCTTCTTTTGCCAAAGACTCAGAAAATCTCAGAAAAATTCAGTATGACACTTAGTTGTGAGACCAATACCATTCAGATCAGCTAGTAAAATTCTCTGTGCAACTAGGTTTGTGTATGTCACATGATTTTCATTCATTCAGGAAATACTTGTCAAACAGTTTCTAGGGGACAAGCACTTGCTTAATGCTGGACTCACAGTAGAGAATAAAAGGGGCATGTTACCCACATTAATGGTGCTCACAGTTTTATCGGAGAAATCGATTATGAACAGAAAATTATATCAATAATCTAATCATAAATGTGGAAAAGACTATGAATAAGAGGTACCAGGTGTAAATAAAAAGGTAATAAATGTAGCTAACTTATCCTAAGGTACAGGGAAGCATTCTCTGTAAAGGTGATAATTAAGCCAGGAAATACGTAGGTAGATGCTAGCCATCTGAAGGGCAGGAAGAGAATCTTTCTCTGATTCTATTTCTGTAGGGATTTAGTATTTTCTTCCCTGAAATTCTTTGTTTACTTGTAACAACTTTAATTCTTGTGTGAGGAATTACTAATGTGGAATACTTAGAAGAAGGGAACACTGAAATTTAGGGATTAAAAAGAAGACAAAGCTGATGTCAGAAAGGAATGAGAGATGACAGCAGCAGTATCTTGCAGGAGATGAAGATGAGCAATAGAAACCATAATCCCAAGGCTACATTCCCTTTCAATCTGATTTGAGTTAATATTATCTCACAGAGAATAGCTCACATGAGTTTTAGAAGGTTCTAGCTTGTACTTTAGCTGGATGATATAATGTGCAGGATTGATACCATAAAAATTGTATATTTAGGTGGTAGTTGAAGAAATACTAATTTAATTATGCTGAAGAAGTTAAATAAAAGTTAATACAAAGATTCACTGGAATTTTTCTGCCTGTGCACTTATGTGAGACTTGGAATATGGGAGTCAACTCTATATCAGGTCAGAAAAGCACTGTACATTTTTATGGGCTTCTAGAAGACACATTCTAACTATAACAAAGAAAAATAAATTAAAACCTTTCATGGAGATGGGGGAAGGGAAATCCTGTAAGTTCCCAACAAACATGGAATGATTAATTTAAATTAATTACACAAAATTTTATTACTCATATAAGATATATGACTTTTTTCTTTTTTATATGTAGAACTGCCTTTATATTTTATTCTAATGTAGATATATTTTAAAGGCCTTCCTGTATTTCTTGTGATCTCATTTCTCATAACCAGATTTTTCATAGTAGTTTCAGATTTTCTATCTCAAATTTGTGCTGTCAGATTTTCAAAAATCTAATTTAAAATTACTAACATATAGCATCCAACCAAATTGAGGTTATAATTCAGATTATCTAGCCTTAAAAATGATATATAATTACATATAGATTCAATTATTTCCTCTTCCTAAAAAAGTCATATACTTCTAAGAGTTTCATAATATGAGCCCATGAGAAGGAAATTCAGTAGGAAAATCTATTTTTTTTCCTTTTCAGAGATAAATTAAATGCTTCAATTTGGTATATTTTGAAAGTGACCAACATGTTTCCACAGAGAGGCTCCTTGTATGGTGGGACTGAAATCACTGTACTGGGTTTTGGGTTCAGCACCATACCAATGAAGAATACGGTCCTCTTAGGTAAGAGCTATATTCCCCTGTGAGGGATACTGCCATTTTTCTCAGCTAAAAGGATGTACTATAGGTGCTGAGTTATTACACAAATACTATCAATCATGGAAACATTACTGTTCTATTAATGTAAAGAATGTTAAGTATATTTGGTTAAGGGGATAAAGAAAATCTTAATAAACTGCTTTCAAACTTTAGATTTCAGTCAATTAATATTATATATTTTATGCATATAGATCACTTAAAGGAGGAGAGGTCAGTTTTGAAAATAATCAGTTCTCAAACATGATTACCATTAAAAACAATATCCTACCATATAACACAGATTTTGACAAAACCTTGACTGTTTACTAAGCTCCATTTCTTCACAAGAAATATTTGAGAAAAAAATCTTTTCCATCTTTGTTTTTCTAGGATCCTTTCCATGCAATGTTACATCATCATCAGAAAATGTCATAAAATGTATTCTTCATTCAACAGGGAATGTATTCAGAATTACCAACAATGGGGAAGATTTAGGTACCAACCAATATTTATATATTGTGAATAAGGAAAAGCATGTTAGCCTGAATTAATTTGATTTTTATTTATTTTATACCTCAAATTATTTGGATAATAAATATAAATATTTATTTTAAGATCTATGGTATCTGCTTTGACATAGAAGTTACATATGGAGTGAATCAGTGGCAAGTTGAGTTTAAAAGGCTAGAGTTCACAACTTATTCAGGAATTGACAATTGGCTTTGCTACAGTGCAGAATCTCCTTATTATTGCAGTTTATTTTCAGTCATCAGTTTCCAAATGAATATTTAAGTTGAAATTTTGTATTTTTGCATGCCTATATGCTTCAGAAAATTCTTATTTCTAAAGAATTGATCATTGCCTTTAAAAATATTCCATGTAAAATATTCTGTGTAACTTATTGAGTATCCAAATTTTAAAAAATTACCTCTTGACCATTGCTTTTTGAGTTATATGACTTATTTCTTCCTTATTTTTCACATTATCTTTTTTCCCCATTACTCCTGTTTATTTTTGTTAAGGGCTTAAGTGACATACATAATAAAATTTTACAGTATTAACTAAAAAGTTGCTTTCAGTAGTAACTGTAAAAATGTTTTCAAAGTTAATTAAGAAATTGATTGCTTTCTTATTTTCTTTTAATATATGACTCAATTCCTACATCCAGTACATGGATTAGGCTACGCTTGGTCACCATCAGTCTTAAACGTGTCTGTAGGAGACACAGTGACATGGCATTGGCAAGCACATCCATTTCTTAGGGGGATAGGATATAGAGTTTTCTCTGTCTCCAGTCCTGGAAGTGTAATTTATGATGGCAGAGGATTTACAAATGGAAGGCAAAAATCTTTATCAGGTAAGTTTCCTCTTTATTAAATTTTGCATGATGCCTCATTTCCCTATATGTAATACAAAGACATTTTGTTTAGATTTACATAGACTATATATGTAAATGTGCTAAATCGTTTACCCGGCATTTTATGGCTATGGTAAAGATATTATAAATGCATGTAAGAACTCATTCTGAAATATCGTTAATGATTCTGTGATAACTGACCAACTGAAAAATACACGGAAACAGCAAAATACAATGAAAATAATAATATATAATTGAATCTTACCAGTCTGGTAGCAAGTGATGGGCTTCTGTTGATTGGAGTCAACTTTAAAACTAATGCTTCTTAAATAAATAAAAACATAAAATGAATGCTTCTTGTAGGAAAGCTCAGTGTAAAGTGAATCTTTTATATTGCTTTTTTGTTTGTTTTGTATGAATGAAGATATAGAGTATTGTCCTTCTGTTGTTAATTTTTCATTGCATGTTGAGTTTTTCTTTAAACTTTGTAATTTATATCAGACTTGGCATGGTTTTCTAACACATTAATGTTGGATCTTATCTTTCTGGAGTATGATTTTATTATGCAAGATAGTTCTTTTATAACCAGTAAATACATTTCCTTCCTATTTCCTATTGAGAAATAATGAATTTGTCATAAACATGTACATTTAAATGATCATTTTAAATTTCAAAGATGCACTAATTGCTTGTATTCACTATGTACAATCTTATTTTATGGCAGGTTCATTTTCTTACCAATTTACTTCACCTGGAATCCATTATTATAGCAGTGGGTATGTTGATGAGGCTAACTCCACTTCCCTCCAAGGAGTCATTAACGTTTTACCAGCCCAAACCAGGCATATTCCCCTGCACCTGTTTGTGGGTAGCACTGAAGCAACCTATGCTCAGGGTAAGAGGTTTAAAGATGGAAACCTTTATTCAGGTGACCCAGGGCTCATGGGACCTTTCTAGAGTAGGAGTCAGATGACTGGGTTTAACCTACTTATGTCTCTTGCTACCACATGACCCCTCATAGGTTCAGACAGTTCTGAAGCTGGAGTGTATTCTATAAAATAAAGATGCTGTTAATGTCTTCTTGCCAGTCTCTTAGAACCCTTGTGTGCTTACATGAAATGCAAAGTGAGAATGCTGACTCCCTGCATGTGTCTGTAAACCTATTAAAATGTTAGGTGATGCTATTGTTTTATTTTTCCTATGGGATCTGGACTTAGACAAATTGAAAATGAATTAATTTTATATTCATTCTTATATCTACACTGTAACATCTTTGTCCAAGTCTTTAATATCGTTATTCTGCCTGGGACCCTCTTGTCATTAAAAAAAAAAGAAGAAGAAGATTTTTCAGAGCTTAAAAGCATCTTCCTTAAAATAAAGAGTTACGCAGTCTGAAAACATTTCTCGTTTTAGAATGTTATCCATGACTTACAGGCAGTTCTTTTGTCTAAAGGAGGACCGGAGAATTTGCACTTAGAAAGCTCTGTGGCAGGCTGCCTAGCAACAGAACCCCTCTGTGGCCTGAACAATATCAAGGTTAAAAATTCAAATAGACCGTTTTTTGAGCTTTCAAGTTGTAATTCACCATCTATAAGCAATATTACCCCATCTACCGGAACAGTCAATGAATTGATAACAATTTCTGGGCATGGCTTCAGTAATCTCACATGTGCTAATAAGGTAAGAATTTAAAGCTCTCCTTTGAATCTTCCATATACTCAATGAAATGAAGATGTTTTAACATAACTTCATAATTTAATTTTTACCCACTTTATGAGATATAGTTCACATACCAAACAATTCAAACATTTAAAGTATACAATTCAATAGCTAAGTATATATAAAGGTAGACTCAGAGACTCATGACCACAATCAATTTTATAATTTATTTTTTTACCTCAAAACAAAACCTAAAACCTTTGGATATCATCTCCAACTACCCCATTCATCCCAGCCCAAGGAAACCACTAACTTACTTTCCATTCTTACAGATTTGACTATTCTGGTCATCTCTTATAAATATAGTCATAAAATATGGAGCTCTTTGTGACCAGCTTTTCCCACTTAGCACATTTTCAAAGTGTCTCCATGTTGTACCATTTGTTGGTACTTTATTTTTTTATGGCCAAATAATATCCCATTGTATGTTACCACATTTTATTTATCCATTCACCAATTGAAGGACATTGAGTTGTTTTCACTTTGCAGCTACTATGAATAATGTAGTTACAAACATGCATGTACAATCCCAATTTGATCTTAAAGTTAATTAAAGATATGTATTAATCATCTCCCAAATTTAATTTTATGAATAAAAACTTTACACAGAATTAGTATTCTAAAATTATGGTTGTTGCTAGTACAAAATATAAGTTCATATTAGAGTAATATATTGATTTGTTTTATTTCATATTCATTTTACTTTCAGGTTACAATTGGTAGTTACCCCTGTGTTGTAGAAAAAAGTAGTGAAAATTCTATTATGTGTCATATTGACCCTCAAAACTCAATGGATGTTGGTATCAGAGAAATTGTCACTTTGATTGTTTACAATTTGGGCACTGCTATCAACACACTGTCCAAGGAATTTGACAGACGATTTGTACTTTTGCCAAGCATCGATATGGTGTTGCCAAGTGCAGGATCAACTACTGGAATGACAAGAGTGACCATAAAGGGCTCTGGATTCTCAGCTTCTTCTGCAGGTGTAGAAGTCTTTATGGGTCATTTCCCATGTAAAGTTCTAACAGTGAATTACACAGTCATTGAATGTGAAACATCCCCTGCTCCCCAACAGCTTGTGCATGTAGATCTTCTAATACATGGAGTGCCTGCCCAATGTCAGGGAAACTGCAGCTTTTCATATTCAGAAAGCATCACTCCTTATATAACAGGAATCTTCCCAAACTCTATTGAAGGATCTGTAAATGTTCTTATTGAAGGAGAAGGTTTGGGGACTGTTTTGGAGGAGATTGCTGTTTTCATTGGAAATCAACAGTTCAGAGTCACACATGTTAATGAAAAGAACATCACTGTTCTTATGACTTCTCTCCCAGCTGGGCCTCATTCTCTCAGCGTTGTGGTGGGATCCAAGGGCTTGGCTCTGGGAAACCTGACTGTTAGCAGCCCTGCAGTAGCTTCTGTCTCACCAAAGTCTGGAAGCATTGGTGGAGGGACCATTTTGAGGATCACAGGGAATGGCTTTTATCCTGGCAACACTACCGTTACTGTTGGGGAGCGCCCTTGTCAGATTGTTTTTGTCAACTCCAGCGAGGTCTACTGCAGCACCCCACCAGGGAGAGCTGGAAAGGTTGATCTGAAGATCTTTGTCAATGCCATCACTTATCCATCTTTGTCATTTAACTATTCCCTGGAGGATACACCATTTCTCAGAGGGATTGTTCCAGATCGAGGTAGTCCAATACTTACTTGCATTTTTTATTATATTTATATGACATCATCAGTACTATTTATTACTATAAAGTTATAATAATATTCATAAATAATTGTTAAGATGTGTTTTTTACACAGCCTGTTGGTATATTGGGTTCGAGTTCTGTGTAGTCTCTGTTTTGTGATTATTTTTGGTATGTTCTTGGGATAAAATTTTTAGCTAAATTTTAATTTCTGTCTTGAACAATACCTCCATTAAATTGGCCTACCATTCAAATAAAGGAATGACTAATTTCAATGCACCAAAATGGATAATTTATGTCATTTATGTTCATGTGGCACAAGAAACAACTGTTAAAATTCACAAGAAGTTGATCTTGCTGAAGTTGAGAAATTTTCAGAGTACTGTAATTCCATGAAAGTCCAATTGATTACTGTTAGTATGATAGAATTCTTTTTAAGGAAGTAATTGGCACATTCAGATAGAGAAAATTATTATGATTTACTTAATTATTTAGCAGAACACATTTTTTCTAAGCTAAGAATAGATCAAAATGTCTTCCAAGTTCCTTGTCATTATGCTGTGCTGTTTCTGAACATCTTTAGGCTATTGTAATAATTTTCAACCATGTAATGAATTTTGAAGTAGCAGCTGTAGTGCCATGGTTCAGAGCATGATCTTGATACTAGGTTCAAATCTTACTTCTTCTACTTCTTAATGATGAAATCTTGGACACTTTTGTTCTGCTTTGTTTTAACATTGGTTTCTTTATATATTCAGGTACCTCTCGTGAAAACTTAAGAATTTCATTCATAAAATGTAATTTGGAATGATACATTTCATAAATAATTCATTAAATGTTCACCTTTTAAAAAGGTGTTTTTTCATTTTACATCCTGGGAAATGTATCAGGTTAAATCAGATAAATTTTCTTCATTCAAGAAGTTTACTATTAAAATTTTCTTTAATACATCAAGTTTGCTCATTGGAGCAAATGTTAACAATAGAAATAATGTATCTATATATTTGTAGTCATTGCAGAGGATGATGTTTGTTCCTTACTTCCATGGACCATTTCTCTTCCTATCTCTCTTTGAATGTTTCTTTTAGAATAAGGTATGTGAAGCATAAGAAACTTTTAAGGGTTGGGAATATAGCTTAGTTGGTAAAGGGCTTGTCTCATATGCACAAGGCCCTAGAACTTTTAAACAAGTGAAACCCAAGCTGTTTTATTTACTGAAGAGACACAAAGTAAATGACACCTAGAATTAGCACTATTGCATTTTAAAGTGAAATGTCAAACAAAATGATAGTTTTAATATATATAAAATAATTTTTGTTTTGTATCTTAAAACTATTTTTAACATTAAATATCTTATTAATATTTGTAATGTATATTATAATGTTGCATATATCATGACATGTTGGTGATTCTCACTATAATTATATAGGAATTGTTACTATTACTGCTTGAATTAAATTCAAAATATTACTTGACCCTGCATTTGTAACAAATTGTAGAAATTACTATCTATTCATAAAATTTAGATGTGTGTGTAGTCACTTGAATGACTTATGATAAATTCTGTGTTTAATGCCCTTGCCCTTCCTCAGTGTACATTTTTCAAGAGAAAGATTGAGATTCTTGGTTCTGTGTACAGTCATTAAGACCTTAACATTAATATTCACTTAAAAGTTTTTAATTTATTTTTTTCTGTATTTACAATCTTATACCTAAGTATTTATATATCATGATTTGTTTATCAAGTCAGATCTATTAAAAATATTTGAATTAAGAAAAAAGATAGTTTATTCTCAAAAAGCGTTGCTAATATCAGGGGGGAAAATCACCAAGAATAAAAAATAATTAGCTTCATCCATGTAGCCTAACCCACCATGACCTGTGCAGACATTCATACTTCTTAATTCTACATCATCTTTCTTCTCTTTGCCTTTCTTCTACTTCTCTATCTTTTCTACTATCTGAATTAGAAACTTACAATTCAGGAGAATGTATGGAAGGGCTGGAAAATAATGACCATTGAGATATGTCAGTTACAGTTAGTGTACAGTAGACTGTAATCTTTATTGTATTCAAAATGTCTGTAACACAGCATGTATATTAGTGTTAGTTTTAAAATACTGGGTATTATTTTGTTTACACAAAGAGGTCTATTTTTAAATGCATGCATAAGTATTGAAATTTAGATATACACTTAACAGTGTTTGCTTTTTTTGTTTTTTGTTTTTTTTAAGGTCTACCAGGAACTGAAATTGAGATCACTGGATCTAACTTTGGTTTTGATATCTCAGAAATTTCAGTGATGCTTGGTGACATTCAGTGCAATGTAACCACGGTCAATGACAGCATGTTGCAGTGTGTTACTGGTGCCCATGCTGGTGGCACTTTTCCTGTGCTGATGCATCATAAGACTAAAGGTTCCGCCGTGTCCACTGTTGAATTTGAGTACCCACTTCATATTCAGAATATTCATCCAACTCAAGGTAGTCATGAATATGCAGAAGCATATGCATATTTATATTGTTTCAGTAAACACATTTAGAAAAAAATAATGTTCTTTAAACATTACTAAAATTTGTACTTCTATTAATACATATTTTTCTCTATTCATCAAACAAATAAGCAAGCCAGAGTACTAACTAAAGATTCCAAAGTATTGGGCAAATGCCTTTATTTGTCTTAGGACTGCATAATTTATTTAAAATTTAGCCCTAAAGTGACCAGAGTATAGATTGAATTTTTTAAAATGATATTTAGCCCATCACTGACATATATTCATTGCCACAAAAATAGTATTTTTTCTAGTTGAAAATTATTTTAATGACTATAAACCTTTCAGCATAACCAATGAACTCAACTGAAATAGTAATGTTATGCATATATTTTGACTATTTTGAAATTCTTTGTGGCACTTCTTTTAAATAAAAATATAGTTTCTAGAAATATTTTATATGAATTACCAGATTTGACATTTTCTCAATGAAGAGTTTAAAACAGTACAAAGCAAAAGATACTCTTTTATTAGTATAATAATTTCAGATCATTTAATACAATCTATTGCCATTTCAGATTTCAAAATAAAGTTAATAAATATGTACATAGGGAAAGTTTCTTTTCAGTTTTATTGTTCCCTTGTATTTGTCTTCACTAGGGAGTTTTGGTGGTGGCCGAACCATGACTGTAACAGGCACTGGGTTTAATTCACAAAATTCAATTGTATTGGTCTGTGGCTCAGAGTGTGCCATCGACAGGCTGAGGTCTGATTACACAACGTTATTATGTGAGATTCCACCCCATGATGGTAAGTTGTGAGAAAAAAAAATGGCTACTCTTGAGAATTGTTTAATCATATAAAGATCACAGTTAGAATTGCTGTTTTCAAATTGTTAGTTTCCTTGGAAATAATTGAATCATCCTAACTTTAAGCAGTTCATCCAGAACTTTATTTTCTAGGTTTAATATATCTTTGAAGATGTCAGTTTATGACAAAAACTGATGACACTTAGCATATTGGGTGGGCCAAATGAGAACATGTCTTTAGTTCTTGCTAGTGTATTAGGTTTTTTTTTTTTTTTTTTTAAGATAGGATAGTATGAAACAGACTACCAAGATTCAAATCCTGTGTGTCTTCAGCACTGGAAAACTGAGGAGGCAGGGTTACAGAACTGACTACAGTAAGAGGTCTGAGGGAGGGTTTTTCCCTCTGGATAATGTGCATGTACTTTGTGATGTTTCGGCTGTTGGGAGAGGTTTTTAGAACTACACGTTCAGCCTGTGTTTATTAGAACATGATCATGGGAAAAGGAAGATGTTATTGAAAATGTTTGGGGGACTTAGGAATGATTACACAACATTATTATGTGAGATTCCACCTAAAGATCTATGGCAGAGCTGTGCTGAGTTTGACCCTCTTTTCATAGGCAGGGGACCTGAGCAAGCTTGTGAAGTGAGTGTGGTCAACGGGAAAGATTCGTCGCTGTCCGTGACTCCGTTTACATACATGACCTCACTGACTCCGCTCATCACTGAAATATCTCCCAGGAGAGGCAGCACAGCAGGGGGCACCAGACTCACAGTCAGGGGATCAGGATTCAGGTACTGTCTTCTCACACACACGGTTTGATTGATGTTTCCAAATTCCAGCCACTATGCCAGCAACCCAATGTGCCAGGACAGTGCTTAAATATAGCCATGTTCACATGCACCTTTCTGCTCGTAAGCCACACTCGAGGCACAAAATAGTACTAATAGCTAACATTGATTGTGTGCTCAGTCTGTGCCAGGTACCTTCCTATCCACAGAAACTTCCTGCCTTATCTTATGAGACATTTTTAATCCCAGCTGGGTTATGTGGTAGTTCCATTCCTAGTCTTTTAATAATAAAATGGGATTAAATATACCATATTTAAATAATTAAGTATACCAGATTTAAATATACCACTTGTTGGTATTTATCCAAAAGACTTAAAATCAGCATAATATAGAGATCCATGCATACCAATGTCTGTAGCAGCACAATCCACAATAGCCAAGTCATGGAACCAGCCTAGGTGCCTATCAACAGACATATGGATAAAGAAAATGAGGTATCTACACCATGGAGTTCTACTCAGTCATAAAGAACAATGAAATTATGTCATTTGCTACCATTTGTAAATGGAAGGACTAATATGAGAGCGCTTAAGTATCTTGCCCCAAATCCTAGTAACATCACAAACATAATCACCTTGTTATGCTTTTCCCACTGTCCGATCTTCGACTGTGATCTGCTTCGCTGGGTGAAAGAAACATCTTTCTGCACATCAGACCTATTTCTCTGTAAATAGTCTTGTTCCTTCTTCTCATGCTTACTATTAGCTCAAACTTCTTGACCATATTGTCATCACTGTTCAGGTGGATCAGGCTGACTTCAAAACACAACATCACATAAGCTGTAGAAGGCAATTTTCATTCCTCAAGTACCCATAATTTTATTTTGGATTTGAATTTTAAAAGGAGGTTAATTTCTAAGGTCTGTGAGTATGATAAAAATGTCACATAGTGGAACCAACCCAGATGCCCTTCAATAGATGAATGGATAAAAAAAAAAAGTGGCATTTATATACAATGGAGTACTACGCAGCACTAAAAAATGACAAAATCATGGAATTTGCAGGGAAATGGATGGCATTAGAGCAGATTATGCTAAGTGAAGCTAAAAAACAAATGCCAAATGTCTTCTTTGATATAATGAGAGCAACTAAGAATAGAGCAGGGAGGAAGAGCATGAGGAAAAGATTAACATTAAAAAGAGACATGAGGTGGGAGGGAAAGGGAGAGAAAAGGGAAATTGCATGGAACTGGAAGGAGACCCTCATTGTTATACAAAATTACATATAAGAGGTTGTGAGGGGAATGGGAAAAAATAAGGAGAGAAATGAATTACAGTAGATGGGGTAGAGAGAGAAGATGGGAGGGGAGGGGAGGGGGGATAGTAGAGGATAGGAAAGGTAGCAGAATACAACTAATATGGCATTATGTAAAAATGTGGATGTGTAACCGATGTGATTCTGCAATCTTTGTAATGTTTTGAACAACCAATAAAAAAAAAAAAAAAAAATGAAGGTGCCCATTTGGAGACTAACAAATAAGGAATAAGAGCAAAGTAATTCCAACTCAGGCAGTTCTTCCTCTAACTCCTCTAACGCTAGAGCACTTGGTAATTTGGGCAGTTCTATTTCCTGACCTTTTATATCTTTGTTTACTGTATTCCTTAACAAATATTTTTGAACTCTTAATTGAAAAAAGTGTCATTGTGCACTTGGATGGATACTAGGATGAGATCATTACTTTGCAATAACACAGATGAAAAAAGGGATTTGATTATATGACATAGAAATTTGAGAAAAACTTTGTCCTGTTTTTGCTTTTCTCCTTTACAGTGAAAATACCCAGGATGTTCACATCACTATAGCTGAAGCCAGATGTAATGTTGAGTTTTCCAACAGGACACACATCTTCTGTACAACAGAGGCCCATACTCCTTCAGGATGGGCGCCAGTTCATGTCAACATCAGAGACATCGGCAGGGCCACGCTGGTAATAATGCTGTTGGGAATACTGATCACAGCAATAGAAACACTTATTATGGAGAGTGGGCTAATAGGTAGTGGATGTTTTACTTTAATGTCTCCAAAAGATAACTGAACTGTAACTCCACCAAATTTTAATTAATTGCCATTTTGGTGTTTATTACTAAAATTTTTATTACTTTTGAATCATAAACTAATTGGCAATGTATTTTTCACTTTATTATTATGAGAAACTAGAGTCAGCTATCACATATTTGAAGTGGGATATATTTTGTTATTAAAAATATGCATTGCTTTACATTTATGTCTGAGAAGTTGAAAATTTCTGGTAAATTCTCTGAACTTCAAAATCTCTTGTGCTTTATTACAGGATAATGCTGATTTCCTATATGTTGATGCTTGGTCCTCCAATTACTCATGGGGAGGAAAATCTCCCCCAGAGGAAGGGTCACTTGCTATTATTACAAAAGGACAGATCATTTTATTGGACCAAAGTACCCCTATTCTGAAAATGTTGCTTATTCAGGGTAAATTTCTGAAAATCTGTTTATTAGTCTCTGCCTAGGGACTATTTCTGTGAAGTTAATTTAACCAACATTTGCGATTGTGAACATCCATAGTTACACTGTGTTTTTAATATGGAATATAGTGCTGGGTTTTCTGAGTATTAGTCTCTTTGTAGTTATGATATTATTGGGTTACAACTAGCATTCTTTTAATCAAATAGAACAAAAAAAGTGTCATATTGTATTACATGCCCCTACACAACTTTTATAGTTAAATGTTGTCTCATGAAACTTTGATTTCCATAATCAAAAGTGAACTTGCCCATGCACTCATAGTTAATTGATCTCAATAGTATACAGCATTTCCTACTGCAGAAATGCTGATATGATAGATCCAAGAGGTTATAAACTTATAACAGTCCATTAAAGTCAATCCTAAATGAACCCCTGATTCCCTTGGTAGCCAGAGTGTGACTGTAGGATCTTTGCATGAGACCCTGCTTTCAGTGGTCACTGGAGCTTCTCTCTGTTCCTTAATATACTTTTTATAAAAAAAAAAATATTTTAATTGTATGCAGACACAATACCTTTTCATTTAATTTATTTATTTCTATATGGTGCTGAGGATCAAACCCAGTGCCTCGCATGTGCCAGGCAAGCATTCTACCACTGATAGAGCCCTTAATATACTCTTTCTACCATAAAAAGTGAAATAACCACAACTATTATAATTATGTAAAAAAAAATGAGGAATAAGAGTAAAGTGCTTGGAGCTTTAGAACATAAACTTTACTGTAATGGTTTTAGCTGCTCAAAGACTTTGGTAATTTTCTATTTTTTTAATTTCTGGAATAATAACAATGTTTTAATTATTCAAAGTTATTGAGTATGGGATCTTTATTTTATTGTTTTGTAGAAAGGATACCAGGGATTCAACTCAAGGGTACCCAACCACTGAGCCACATCCCCAGCCCTATTTTGTTTTTTGTTTAGAGACAGGGTCTCACTGCGTTGCTTAGCACCTGGCTTTTTGCTGAGGCTGGCTTTGAACTCACAATCCTCCTGGCCTCAGCCTCCCGAACTGTTGGGATTACCAGCGTGCATCACTGGGCCCTACTGGCATGGGATCTTTAGACAAGTAAAATGTTACTGTCTACATCAACCTGTAGCTGTTTTGGGTGTGAATTAGTGGGCAAGAATTCAGAGTTAATGTTGATGTTATCGAATAGTTTCTATAAACCTGCTTTTGTGTAACTTTAAGTGTTTTATTCTTAATTTATATTTCAAAATCCTGTTATTTATAGAATTAATTTGTGCAGCTATACTATTTAATAACATTTAAGATATGAAAATTGCCAAGGGAAAATAATCTGCCCTGGATTTTGTTTTTCTGTGAACTTCCAGGGTCTTATCTGAAGCTTTTATACTTTCATGTAACCAAAGAGCAGAAGTAAAGTAACACATATTAAGGTAGCAGGAGAGGGATAAGAAATTACATTTTTTACTTTTAATTTAGTAGGTGAATTTTGATAATACTTTTTTCTTGAGATATGTTTAAAATTTGTATGGTTCACAGGTGGAACTCTAATATTTGATGAAGCTGACATTGAACTCCAAGCAGAAAATATTCTAATTACGGATGGTGGTACTCTTCAGGTACATAAGAGAACATGACATACATTTATTGTTAACCTGTTTCCTTTTTAAATACTATATGTAAAATGGATAGTTAATTACACCAATCTCTCCTGAGTTTATCTTTGATTAGGTTTGCTTTATTAATAAAACAATCTTTATCTGGGGAAAAGTTTCCTAGAATATTCTTGCAATTTAATGGGAAGATAATTAGTGTTTTATCAAGGAGCAGAATTTAAAATAGAACAAGAAATATAGCTTTGATATGTGGCTAAAGTCGACCAGAAGTCTCGCATATTTTGCTGACTAGAGACTTTAAGGCTTGTATTTTGAAAGAAAGGTATGAACAGTTGAACAACCAATCCTCAAAAAGAGAGGGAAGAGATGGGAAAACAAATTTGTTTTTCATAATGAGAATTGTGGATATGAAGCCAGAAGGGGTGATGCACTCCTGTAATCCCAGCTACTCAGCAGGCTGAAGCAGGAGGATCATAAGTTCACAGCCACAGAATGTGTGTCTTGTTGGGACACAATAGAATTGTATTCAATTTCTCGTCAAGTTTTTTTTTTTTTTTAAGTAAATGTTGGGCTTTAATTTTAGTTTTCTGAATGAGGCCTGTGAAATCTCTTGCAGATCGGGACAGAAGCATCCCCCTTCCAGCACAAAGCAGTCATTACCTTGCATGGGCACCTGAGATCTCCTGAGCTCCCTGTGTATGGGGCCAAAACACTGGCTGTGCGTGAGGGAGTCCTGGATCTGCATGGTACTGAGGCCCAAGCTAAGTGAAAGCTCCCAAGCTAGTCTATGTTTAGATATCTTCCTCTAAACTCCACTAACCTCCCCTAGCACAGGCCAGCCTCAAGGCCACTCCTCCCCAAGCCATGTCTACAGCCTTCCTCCAACCCTTTGCCACATGCTTCCTGATGTTTTTTGTCTTGTTTTGCACTTAGCACAGTGCATGGTGACTGTGTACTTTATTCGTTTGCCCATGTGGAAAGGCACTAAGACTGGAAACAGAAGATGGATTCCTTAAATTTGTATCCAGAAATGGACTCTTCCTAAAGTACATCAATAAATTTATAATTGAACTTTTTAATAGCTATATTCCAGAAAATTGCCAGCAAGTAAAGATGATTTTGATAGTGTTGAAGGTGCCAGGATAACATTTTATAAAAGATGAATGAAATTTGTCTTTTTTATGTGGAAGTCCTATATATTGCAATAATCTGTTTTTTATAGATTTAGAATGTCATAAACATAGTACCTTGTTATGATCATAAATGTCCTACATCATGCTAAATATATCCTACTAAAAGTTCTTAGAAGTTTTACATGTATCACTTATCTCTAGATTATTGGTTTAAGCAGTCTCTATCAATAATGACAAAGATAACAGTCCATTTTGTTAATATGATTACCCCACATTTATATTGTGCTTATAAAGGAAGATTGTTATCAGTGGAATACATCATTGCAGAGAATATTTTTTCTAATTTCATAGAAACATACATTATTATTAAACCTGTTACTTTTCTGAAGCAAGAATTCTTCACATTTCTTTTGTGACATAGGTATGAAATCCTAAGGTACAATTAACCTTCCTCAAATTCATTTAATCCAAATTAAATTGCATAAATTAAAATGCATAAAATCTCAGTAACATAGAAAGCACATCTGAAGTTTTGCTTGTTGTCTCCAGGTCTGCCTGTTTCTGTGGTCTGGACACGTTTGGCTCACACTGCAAAGGCAGGGGAACGGATTTTGATTTTACAAGAAGCTGTGACATGGAAGGAAGGAGATAAGATTGTAATTGCAAGCACAGGACACAGGTATGAGTTTGATTTAGAAAGCAGATTTTTTTTAAGTTTGTAAAAAATGAACAATTCAAAAGGTCCACGCTCTTTGATTTACATTTGAATCCTCTAAAAGAAGCATGAACAGCCTAATACATGTGTGCCAAGTGTGAACATTTGGTTGATGACCAAGTGTGTTGAGTTTTCAGTGACTGAATTTACAATTACAAAAAAAAGTAAGTACAAATCTAAATGTATAAAATAAATATGAACTAATCATTTTGTTTTCCATAGCTAGGTTCCTATGTAAGATTTCATTTAAAAAAAAAACATTCTGCTATTAAAAGTCACTTGAAAATTTTGACTTAGAACATTAATTAAATACATTCATGAATGCAAAAATGTAAATGAGTTTCTTTGTTTGAGGTCACCAAAGAATATGGTTGAAAGCAGCTGGTAAGCCCTTTCTTATCTTACAGTATTGGCAGTGGTCCCACAGAGCAAATTTCTTAGCAATGATTGAGTAAAAGGGAAGAAACCATGATAGAAAAAGTGATAATTAAAATAACCTTTTAGGTGCCTGACATTTTAAAATTGAAACTGCTTATGACCCTTAATTTATATTAGTTACATATTTTTAGTAAACAAGAAATATAAGGAAAAAATAATACAGTTCTAAATATATCAGGGAGTGGGGATAAAAATAGCCTTATTTTTGTTTTACTGTTCAAATTATGGATAATACTGAAATTGGATATGGTTATGCTTATCAGGAAGTAAATAGTAATTTATGACAAGAAACCAATATGTTAAGGGCATGACTCAATTTAAAATTGAAATTCGAGATGGCATTTAAAGTTTTCCATTTTCCAAATTAAAAATAGATTTGCAGATGTTAGGAAGAGTTAAATGCATACTTAGCTTTGAAAGTGCCCATTTTTTCTGCCCTTGGAAGAAATTTTAATTACATAATGGCAAAACAAACAAGCAGGAAAATCATAGGGCTTATTAATAGAATAGAAAATCTTCATTTATACCCTTACTCTAAACAGAGTAAGTTTACAGTTTAGCATAGGGCTATTTAATTTTAAGAAACAAGAATTAAGGAGTTTCTTTCCAAATCTAATTCATTGTTCACTATTTCATTGGTAAATCCTACTTGAGAATTTGTAAAGCCAGGTAAAGGTTAAGAAAATAGCTTCTGAAGTCAATCAGCCTGGGCCAATTCCCAGCAATACTACCGTCAGCCCTTGGTCATCATATTTCCCTTCTCTGTGCTTCAGTTGAATTGCAGTGCTAATAATACATACCCCATAGAATTATTGTAAGCAGTAAGTGAGTTAATATGTGCAAAGCTTTATAGCAGAACTTGGCTCAAAGTGCTTTATAAGTGAGGTATCACTACAAAGGAAAGAAAGGTGTTTCTAGGTGAATGCACATATAAAAATGCCATTTAGAACTGTCTTTTCTAAAGAAATTGTTGTATCATCTGGATGTGAGAGAATCCAGGAAAGACCAGACCCTTTCCCCTACCACCTGTGAGATATTGCACTACTGAATCATTCTTTTCTATAAACAGCCTGTAGAGACCTGCCTGTCGCTACCTGTCCTGACCCCTTTCCCCACAATTCCTTCCCTGAATCCTTTGCAATTCTAGGTTTCTCTGATGACCCACTGTCTTAAAAAACAACTCTATTCTGGCATATCCTCTAGCTTCTTTCATTATTATCCTTTTTTTCCCCAAAAAGATTAGTACATTGTTTAATATTACATTCCCATTTCATCTATTTCATCCTTACTATCCTTTCTCCTCACCCCCCATTTAAACCCCTACATTCATTTTATCTTTTTAAATATTTATTAGTGCATTATAGCTATATATAATAGTGGGGCTCATTTTGACATATGTATAAATCCATATAACAGAGTTTGTTCAATTTCAATCCCCAGTACTTCCTCTTTCCTTCCCCTCCACACTCTCCCTAATCCCCTTCTTCCACTGTATTGATTTTATTTCTATTTTTATGATGAAAGGGAGAAAAGGGAATAAAAAAGGAGATCTCATGAAAATAGAGTACACTTGGGGAATCAAGGGGCATAGAGAATGGGAGGGGAAGGGGAAGAGCTAGGGAATAAAGTTGACCAAATTATGTTATGTGCATATGTGAATATATCACAATTCATTCCAATTTTGTATACAATTATAATGTACCAATACCACATTTTTTAGTTACAAAATTTTGTAGTATATCTGAAATAAGATATTGTGATACCTCCAGCCTTGTTCTTTTTGCCAAGATTCCTTTAATAATTTGAAGTTCCATTTAAATTTTAGGATTAGTTTTCTAATTCTGTGAGGATTGACATTAGAATTTTGACAAGGATTGCATCAAATCCATAGATGACTTTAAGTAGCATGGACTAAGTCTACTTATTTATTTTTTTCGTACTAATTTTTCACTGAGGGGTGCTCGACCACTGAACAACACTCTTAGTCCTTTTTATATTTTTTATGTTATTTTTATTTTTTAAATTAAATTATTTATTTATTTTAATTTGTTATACATGATGACAGATGCAATTCATTTCATATTACACATATAGAGCCCAATTTTTCAAGTCACCGATTGTACACAAAGTATTTTCACACCATTTGTGTCTTCATACATGTACTTAGGGTAATGATGTCTAACTCATTCCACCATCATTCCTACCCACTTGCCCCTTCCTTTCCCCTCCCTCCCCTTTGCCCATTCCTCCCATGGCCCCGTCCCCCATCGCCATTATGTAAACCCCTACATTCTAATATTTTTCTTCACAAAACCATTCCCAGAATTACCATCCTTCACTTTTTGCACATCACATATTCTTTTGGTTCTGCCCTTGAAATTTCTCTTCTTTCAGCTTTTTCTTCTCTGGGTTTAAATTAGACCCTCAGTCCTTTATATCCGAAATATGATGGCATTGTTCTATTTAGGCTCCACTCCACTTTTCCCCACACAAATCCATTCTGCATTAATTTGTTCAACCACTAGAAAACTGTTGCTGTTACTGAGTTTTGACATGTATTTTACAAAGTGCTCAGCATACAAAATGGTTCAGGGTCCTTGCCTAGAAGAGCAGCCAGATTGGTGGAAGGGACAGAGAAATAGGTACTTTATAATTATAGACTACATACAGTGTGGTTATTCTGAGGGCAACAGGGCATTATGCAAAGTGCACTGGGAATCCAGAAGAATTGGGAAAGTTGAGAGACTTGACTTCTCATCTACTTCACACGTGGCACTATCATTCAAACTTGTATTTAAAGAATGGAAAGCATTTGCAAGGGAGAAAAGGGTCAAAAGAGAATTTCAGGAAGACACAAGAAACTCCCTTAAGCTTACCTCTGTTAACAGCACTGATCTTTAGTAGATAATTTCCAATCAGAAGTTAACAGACTCATCTTAAAACCAGGGGCACTTTCTACTTGGTATCACTAGTACTTAACTATATACCTAGACAATAAATATTTGTTGAGCAGTTACATATATGAATAGGTACATTATGGAATTTGCAAGTCCTTTTTACTATAGCTGGAATTTGGGGTGCCGCAGTCTGGCTGGGCACAATTCAGGAGCCACTTGTCAAAAGAAACGAACTTTATTTTTAGAACACACACCCCACCCCACGGTTTTTCGGGAAAACCTTCAGAGCCCAACTGCCACCACCGGCTTCCCACAAGCCTCTCAACCTCCCCCACTCCTCCTGCTCTTGAGGCTGATTGGCTGGGTCGTGTGGGCAGAGCCAAAAAAAGTCCCCCAATGAGCAGCTCCATGGTCTGAAAGGGCGGGGAAACAGCCCAATGAGTGTCACCACAGAGGAGCCAATCAGTTGGCAGCTAGAAGTTTGCTGGGGCCCCTTCTGCTGTGGCTCTCAACATGGGGCATATTGGAGAAATGGTAGAAATAAACTTCAACTCAATGTTTTCTTTTCTTTGCTCAGGAATATCCAATGACTTTTCTTTGTAAAGGTTTCTCAGCTTTGGTGATTTGCATTTTGTACTAGATAATCTTTGTTATAGGGACCAACCCATAGATTATAGGATCTTAGAAACCTCCCTGGCCTCTACCCACCACCTTCTTGTTGTGACAGCCAACAATGTCTCCATGCATTGCTAGAGTATAAACAACCCTCAGTTGAGAAGTTCTGAGGATGATCCTAAAGTTATGAATGAATAGTTCTTTTGAATTCTTTTTAAAATTGAATACAGTTTTATGAATAAGTCTACCACTTCAAAGTATTCTTATTCAGTTTTTCTAAAAAAGTAAAATACTGTATTCAAATTTTTCTTCAGAAAATTTCACAATGTAAAAAAATTTCTGTATTTTATAAATGAAATATTCAAAATGGTATCAAGTGAATATGTCAAATCAATATATTATGCTGATTTATAATAAGTTTGAAATTTTTTTAAAAAAATGTTTTACAGACACAGTCAACGAGAGAATGAAGAAAGAACCATCGAATCTGTATCTACTGATGGCAAAAACATAACAATAACTAATCCACTGAATTACACACACTTAGGAATCACTGTCACACTCCCTGATGGAACTCTGTTTGAAGCAAGGGCAGAAGTTGGAATTCTTACAAGAAATATCTTAATAAGAGGATCTGATAATATAGAGTGGAATAACAAAATCCCAGCATGTCCTGATGGGTTTGACACAGGTAATTTTAGCAGTTATCAGGTAATTTTAGTAGCTGGTATAATCATGATGCATATTTTCAAAATTTAATTGTCTTATATTGAAATGCCATATTTTAGTTTCACCTTGTAAATCTGCCTGTGACTTTCATGGAAGTTTTGAAGACCTAGTAGTATTTTTAAGTAACATTATGAAAGTATTTGCAATACATTGAATAAAAATGGTTATTGTTAACACCAGTGGGAGAAATGAATGCACTTGGATTCTGTTGACAAAGTCTCTATTTTTATGATCCCTTTTATGTTTAGATTAGACCTTGATAATTATGGATTTGAATATCATAAAAAACTGTCCTTTAAATTTACCTAAATGTATAAAACTACATTTGATGATAATCTGTTTAGCAAATATTTGATTTAGCAGTTCTTTCCCTCTTTTCAAACATGTATTCCATGAGGGCAGTGTATGCCCACGCGACCCAGCCAATCAGCCTCAAGAGCAGGAGGAGTGGGGGAGGTTGAGAGGCTTGTGGGAAGCCGGTGGTGGCAGTTGGGCTCTGAAGGTTTTTCCTAAGGAGCTGTGTGGTTTGGTGTGTGTGTTCTAAAAATAAAGTTCGTTTCTTTTGACAAGTGGCTCCTGAATTGTGCCCAGCCAGACTGTGGCATTTGGTGGCCTGTACAGGGAATGAACCTGCGACCTTGGCATATACAAATTGCAGATACAGCTTGGATAGTAACCTTTTCTTCAATGAGATGTATAAATAAAACTCATTAGATTTGACACAAATAACCTATGTTCTGATTTCATTTCATCTGCTTCAAGTCTAACAAAGTACATGAAATCAAGTTTCAAACTATTAAAGATAATACCTCCTATCTTGTCCACTCACTATAATTTTAAGAATTAAAATTATATTCTAATGTTATATAAAATTGCATTAATTTTGCTAATCCCTAGTTTGGAGAAAAACTTCAGAAATAATAAAACAAAATACCTTTATCAGGATTCACTCAACCATTGAAATATTTCTTTAGCTTCTTCTCTAACAAATGCTTCAGTAAGTATTCTGGGGCATGCAAAGGGGACAAGATAGGGTACTTACCCTTTGTACCATCTAGAAGAGGATATGAAGTGAATGCATGTATTTATGTTCCAGAATAAAGTTGCAATGATATTGAATGAAAAGATGCAATTAGGTATGGAGGAAAATATTTCTTTATATAATAAAAGAAGATTGCAACATGGTCTTTTAAGATTCTCTTAAAATATTTTTAAAGGTGAATTTGCTACACAGACATGCCTCCAAGGAAAGTTTGGAGAAGAAATAGGAAGTGATGAGTTTGGAGGCTGCATTATGTTTCATGCTCCTTTACCTGATTCTAACATGGTAACCGGAAGAATAGAATATGTGGAGGTAAGAAGCATTATTGTTAAATCACAGTGGCTTAACTAAAGTTATCTGTATAATGAAAATGTATTAATTTCCTCCTGTTTGATATACTCTGCTTATAACCTGACAGGGAAGACAGATAAAGAAGGGAAGGTGAGAATGAGGGAGGGAAGAAATTATAGCAAAATCCATAACCCATCCTGGGCACACCTAGACCTCATTAATGATGTCAGATCAATGCCTCCATTTCATGATACTCTCCCCTAAGATATGTTACACACATGTAACATCTGAGATATGAACTGACTGAGGTTGCCAGGGTCAATTTATATAGTAAATATTAGCAATGGTTATTTTTCTATTTTTAGATGGGGAATGAAAATAAATAGATGATCTAATATTTTCTTTCCTTATTCCATGAGTTTATATTAAACACACACACAAATTCACACATTCATACATTTGGCCATCCTTAGTATTAGACCTGTTCTAGAGTCATACCAACTTGGCTTTGAATGGAGTGGAGCTTTGTGACTGTGATCAAGATGCACAACCTTTTAAAGAAACTTCAGTTTCTTCATCTTCAAAATGAAGTTTAGTGACCAGACTCAACTTTGTAGTATTGTGACAAAGACTGTGATTTTGCATGTAAAAACACTTAATATAATATTAGGTACATGGCAAACATTCGGAAGTTTTTCTTATTATTGTATAATAACCAAAGTAAAGAAAGCAAAAGATCTTTTAAGAGATTTCCTTTTGCAAAACACAATTTGTATTAGACAGAAGTAAAAAGTGAAAGCCAAAGATGGCTTTTGTTCGTTTATTCATTCATTTTCTCACAAGCATGGTCTTTTATACATTGTCTAAAATAAGCTGGATTGAGAATAAAATAACATTTTCAAACAATAAATAATATGGAAGATATTAATGTATTAGTAATTAATTTGTAATTTTGAACCAAGGAAAAAAGAGCAGGGCAAACTGTGAGTCTATGTAGATTAATAACTGTGATTTCTGGGCTTGACAGGTATTCCATGCTGGCCAGGCTTTCCGGTTGGGGCGATATCCAATACATTGGCACCTACTTGGAGATTTACAGTTTAAATCTTATGTAAGAGGTTGTGCAATTCACCAAACCTATAATAGAGCTGTTACCATCCATAACACACATCATCTTCTGGTTGAGAGGAATATTATATATGATATCAAGGGAGGAGCATTTTTTATAGAAGATGGTATTGAACATGGCAACATTCTGCAATATAACTTGGCAGTATTTGTTCAGCAAAGTACTAGTCTTCTGAATGATGATGTGACCCCGGCTGCATTTTGGGTAACCAACCCAAACAACACCATACGACACAATGCAGCTGCTGGTGGTACTCATTTTGGCTTTTGGTACCGAATGAATGACCACCCTGATGGACCATCTTATGACCAGAATATTTGCCAAAAAAGAGTTCCTCTTGGAGAATTCTTTAATAATACTGTTCATTCTCAAGGTTGGTTTGGACTGTGGATCTTTGAGGAATATTTCCCCATGCAGACGGGATCTTGTACTTCTTCAGTGCCAGTGCCTGCAATTTTTAATTCACTTACTACATGGAATTGTCAAAAAGGAGCTGAATGGGTTAACGGAGGTGCCCTGCAGTTTCATAACTTTGTGATGGTAAACAATTATGAGGCTGGAATTGAGACCAAGAGGATCCTGGCTCCCTATATTGGAGGGTGGGGTGAAACTAATGGAGCAGTGATTAAAAGTGCCAAAATTGTTGGTCATCTTGATGAACTGGGAATGGGGTCTGCATTTTGCACATCAAAGGGCCTAGTGCTCCCATTTAGTGAAGGCTTGACTGTATCGTCATTACATTTTATGAACTTTGACCGTCCCAATTGTGTAGCTTTGGGAGTGACATCCATCACTGGTGTTTGTAATGACAGATGTGGAGGTTGGAGTGCAAAATTTGTTGACATTCAGTATTTTTACACACCTAATAAGGCTGGCTTTCGATGGGAACATGAGGCAGTACTGATTGATGTTGACGGTTCGCTTACAGGTAACACTATTTTTCAATTTATGATTCGAATACATTGAAAATATATTTGTGTTAATATAGAGGTGATTTGTTCCAGCATATTTATCAGCATTATAGACCTTACCCAGCACCAAACTTTAATAATGTTTTAATAGATAGAGTTTAACATCTGACACAGATGAGACATTCTTTTCTGGAACAGCATCAAACTGTCAGAGCCAGCTTCCAAAAGTGTCTTTTTTCTATCTCATTTGCACTTTGATTTTATATTAATGGTAAATTTTGAGCAGTGTATATGGGAACATTGATCACAAAAGGAAGATATTCCAGTTTTAGAACTCTTCCATTTTATATTCAATTGTACAGATATGAAATTATTTTCATGACCACCCAAATTCTACAGCCAGTCATGCCCCAGAGACATACCTCCCAGGTTTATTTGTGTAAACAATGTAGATAGAATGGATATACCCTTGCTACAATACTTTTAAAGAATAGGAGTGACAAGCCTGCTATTAACTCTTTTTTTTCTCAATTTAAATTCTCAATTTTGTTTTGTTCAAATAATATATTTAGAAAATTCAATATATATTGTAAGTTAATTTTTTTTTAGCATTTGAAGACCAGGGTATGTCACAATTTCTGCACATATTCATGGTTTCCAGAATTTAGTGGCTGTAAATTTTTAGAGATAAAGACTTGTCTAAATAAAACTCTGTGTGTGTGTGTGTGTGTGTGTGTGTACGTGTGTGTTACTGAATAAGACTTTTTAGGAGTATGCCATTTGACAGGTAAACTTAGAGATGTTTATAATTATTTTTGAAAGACAAAAGAACATTCATCTCAGTATTTAGATGGACTGAGAACTATTGTGGATAATATCTGTCTCCTAATTGTTGTGGCTTTTAAGAGGGAGAACATTTGGATGCTTCTGACATATCAATCTTTGTGTAATGCTTATTGATTTACTTAATTCTGCTTAATATTTAATGTTAGTTGGCAGTTTATTAGTTAAGAGTACAGAATCTATAGTCATTCTGCCTGAATTTGAATCTTTTTGTGTGTCTTAACAAAGTTATTTGTTGCACTCCTCATGTTTCATTGTGACTTTCACATATGCTTCAGATCCTGTGTTTTAAATACATTTACAGTAAGGCCCACTGCAGAACCTCTGTATGAGGTCTCCTTGCCTCATGCAAACAGAATAATTTTACCAAGACTTTTAGATTTTGTTTATAATAGTATAGATCACAGTACCTGTAGACCACATACCAGTTTTCTAACATGAATTAGAAATCATGCTCCTTCTGTTTCTTTTCCAGGACACAAAGGGTACACGGTCATCCCACACAGCTCATTGCTAGACCCTTCACATTGCATTCAGGAAGACCAGTGGAGCATCGGATTCCCTGGATCTGTTTGTGATGCTTCAGTCAGCTTCCACCGTTTAGCATTCAACAAACCTTCCCCAGTATCTCTACTTGAAAAGGATGTGGTTCTTTCAGACTCTTTTGGTATGTGGATTATATTAGTTTAAACCACTGATTTGAGTATGTTTTCCTAAATGTCTGTCATCGTCTTCTTGAGTTGTTACTTGATGTTTTGGAACACTGCAAAAAAGCATAATATGTATATCAGAGTTCAGGCAGGAAACAAGCAACACACTCAGTGAGTGTTTGAGAAGCCTTGAATAAATGCATGGACTAGCAAATGTTTGGTTGATCAAGAAGCCTCCAGAAAATATTATGACAGAGAGCAGAGAAGTTGGCATAGCCCTTGAAGCAACACTTTAAATGTATACCACCACTAAAGACAAATATTTATTATGCTTGATGATTAAGATGGAATTGGAGAGCATTTGCTAGGTCAATAGCTGCATACCAAGTGCCAGGTGCTGTCAATTTACTGATTTCTACCAATATAGATACTATACAATGGAAAAATGAATATGTTTAACATTATTACCAACTAGGTTATAATAATTTGCAATCCTTATCCATCATCCATGTGACATATTCACTAGTCAAAAAGAAAAAAAATTAATGGGTATGAGGTGGCAATCTTGATTTTCATCTCTCTCAAGTCTTTGATTATTATATTAATCTCTGTACTTTCCTCTCAAGGATTTAGAACTACTTCAGTTTATTATTGTGTTTGTCAGTTTTTTATTACCATCACAGCTTTTCAAGGTTTCAGTTCATGGTCAGTTGGCCTCATTACTTTCGGGCCAATGGTGAAACAGCATATCATTGAAGGAAGTGTTTGGGGGGGCAAACTGCTCACCTCATGGCCAGAATGCAAAAGAAAGAAAGAAGAGCCTGGGGTTATAGGACACCAAGAGAGCAGGAAGTCTCCTTTAGATGGGGAAGGAGTGGATATTTGCTGAATTATCATAGTTCGTATTTTTTTTTCTAGGATTTTGGTATTTCTGGGATTTTTGGTATTTTAGTGCCTCTGTTCAAGATTCTTATAAAACTAACACCAATTCATAAGCCTAACAATTTTGTTTTCCCTTGATAATGGATTTTTTTCTGTATTCTTAAAAGAAAATGAATTACAGTTTATTTTGTAAACTTCTTCCTAAATTATTAAGGTAAAAGTTGTTAATTTTACATAAAATCCAATGAAAGACAAAAAGAGAGAGGGAAAAAAGGGGGCAATTAATCAAAAACTTTTCTTTGTAGTGTAAGAGATCTTTTCAGATATTCTACTGAAATTGTCAGGCAATCTCTCATGCCAAAAGCATTACTGCACTATATAGATTTTCCCATTACTGTAGTTTAAGTTCAAATTTTCTCAATTATAAAATGTATATGTCATACTCACTGTTAAGTGATAGACTTTTAAAAAGTGATACTTTTAGTCTTATTGCTTAAGATTTCTAAATTGAAACTTAATTGAGGCCAAGTAGAAGTATTTGCTACCAACAATTAGTCTTTGTGGTATAAGTTTTTGTGAATTCAACAGACACAGGAGACAAATAGAGAATCCATATATATTTGTATATACTGTAAATCCAGAATTCTGAAGAATTAAGCTGTTAATAGAAATGAAATTATGAAAACTGAGAAATTATACCCCATTTGATTCAAATGTATGATATGTCATGAGCAACTAATAAAAAAAGAAATGAAATTATGTTTAGGTCAATGATATTTAAAGAATTAGATTAATACATTTAAGTACTTTTTGTCCTAGTATTATTTATAATTGTCATGTGTTTTAATCATATCTTTCCCTAAGGAATTAAGTCTCGATTTTGTTTTAAAATACCAAATGAGAAAAGATTCCCATTGACTAAACCAATGTTTTCCATTCTCAGTTGTTTTTAAAAGGAGGAATTTCATAAAGGTAGCTACCACTATCATTTGCTTGTTTGCATTCTTCCTCAGGAACAAGCATTGTTCCCTTTCAGAAGAAACGACTGACTCACATGTCTGGGTGGATGGCTCTGATTCCAAATGCAAATCATATTAACTGGTATTTTAAAGGTGTGGATCATGTAACCAACATATCATATACATCAACATTCTATGGATTTAAGGTAAGCAAAGACTATAAAATGGATCATCTAATCATTGTAACTGCATATCACTCAAATGCAGCCTGTATGCCTATCCTTACAACCACTGTCAGGTCCAGAATGCTCTTGCCTCACAGGTCAACTTATTAAAGTCCAATACTCCCTTCACGGCCCATTATAAATATGAGTTAAGCCAAAGGAGCCTTACTCGAGAATAGGAAGTAGGCAATCTTTCTGCCATGTTCCCATGATACTGTGCTTGTTATTATTACCATGTTAATAGATTACATTTACTGTGTGTTTATGATGCCTCAGGTACCAACTAAGGGATTTTTATTTGTATCGTGAATTAATCGAACAACAGAAAATTATTCTTAAAGAAGCAATACTTACATGCCCACCACCTAGCTCTATTTCAATTTCTTGACATTCTGTGAATATTTACTTACTATTTTTGAAAATAAATAAAACTTCATAGTTGAAGTGGAAGCCCCATATGGTTTGTGCACCCTGTCATTCCCCACCGTCCACCTCCTAATTGAGTGTTTTCCTTCCACACAAGTTCTTCTACTTATACTACATATTTGTGTAGCCTGAAAATCCTATATCATATTGTTTTAAAGATCTTTCAAACATTACAGAAATAAAATGTTCTCTGAATACATACATACATTATGTTAGCTTTATATCACTGTTACCAAAATCCCCAACATGAACAACATAGAGGAGGAAAAGTAAAAGGTTTATTCTGACTCATGGTTTCTGAGGTTTAGTTTATGATCACCAACTTCTTGCTCTGGGCCCCATATAAGGCAGAACATCATTGTTGCAGGGCAGTGGTGGAAGAAAGCTGCTCAGTTCATGACATCCAGGAAGCAGAGAGAGGAAGAGACCACAGGGAAGATGAACCCTGCCAGGGAATGCTCACAGTGAGCCACCTTTTCCAGCCATACTCCAGTTTCCATCCAAGTATTCCATTCAAACTGTGACTGGTTAAGTTATAGCTCTTAATTCTTTCACTTCTGAACATCCCTGCATTAACACAGGAGCTTTTGGGGGAACACCACATATCCAAACTATAACATACATATATACTCACTTACATGTGTATATATAATATATATATATATATATATATATATATAGAGAGAGAGAGAGAGAGAGAAACCAAAAACAGAGACAGACCTTTTTAATGCCTTATTGATAGAGCTAGTTTTATAGCCAAAAGTGTATAAATGTTAATAAACAGAAATGCAAAATAAAAAGTAAACTGAAACTAAACCTTTTGTCAAAAACAATATAGATGCTAATTATATGTCACTAAAACTAATGTATATTATACATAGCACTAGCATATAAAACAAGTCACATTTTTTGCATACTTCTGTAGGAAGAAGACTATGTAATTATATCGCATAACTTCACTCAGAATCCTGATATGTTTAATGTTATTGATATGAGAAATGGTTCTTCAAATCCACTGAACTGGAATACTAGTAAGAATGGAGACTGGCATCTTGAAGCAAACACTAGTACTCTTTACTACTTGGGTGTGTATTCAGTATGCAGAAGTGATTATTTTATCTAATTCTTTGTCTAAAGGATGAGAAAATTAAAGATAAATGTATCATACAGTGCTCTTTATTAGCAGGACTTGATAAATATTTGTTGAATGAAAGGACTAAAGACTAAATTTGAGCTAGAAAAGGTCTTGAGTTTAAGAACTTGCATTTTATTTTTGGAGATAGCACCAGAGTGCTTACAGAAAATGAGTACAAAGGACGCTGGCATATTTTTTCCATTTTTAATATTTAATAATTTTGTAATATAAGAAGGTTTATGAATGAATTTAAATTCTAAAGCATTATTTTTCAAGATATTTTGGCTTTGCATTTTTTAATAAGATATACATTCTCTTAGGATTTCTCTGTATCTATTAAATGTATACATTTAAATTATACCAAATTTATATCTAAAGAATATTTTCAAAAATTCTATGATTTTTGTTTTCTTTCAAGTACTTTGATCAATATGTTAATTTAAACCACTTTTACTTTACTTTCAGTGTCAGGAAGACGTGACCTTCATCCAATTGAGCCCATTTCTGGAACCTTGGATCCTGATGTGAAAGATGTTACAATTAATTTCCAAGCTTACTGTTGTATTCTCCAGGACTGCTTTCCTGTGCATCCCCCCTCAAGAACCCCAACTCCCAGGAAGCGACCAGCCACTTATAAGTATGTAGGCCTTTTGTAGTAAAAAACCCTTGATACCTCTTGTTGTAATCTTTTTAATGTTACCCCTGAGTGAAATAATGATGCCTTTTTTCTGGGCACTGCCTTATAATATATAAGAGTACATCTTGGCCTTAACAACCACACTCAATTAAATAATCTCCAAAAAAAAAAAATACATGTGAAACTTATTGGCAAACCTCACACTTGCAGAATGTTAGATTTGGATTATTAAACTCGTCCAGCTCCCTTTTTATGTAGGTGAAAAAGCTGAAGGTCAGTGATCTCAAGTAAAATTCTTGAGATCACAGAACTTATGGATGGCACATGCAGTCCAGCACCAGAAATTAAATCTCTTCATTAATCCAGTGTTTTCTTTGCAGGCGGTGTTGCTCTGTAGGATAACCATCATGTTCAAATCTCATAAGACGACTTATTAAATTTTATTTCAAACCTTTTATCTCAATTTTAATTATTCTGATTAAAATAATTTTTGTATCTATCTCTGTAACTTATATGGCTTTTACCTTTATTTCTCAAATACTACCTTGTATTACTAATGAACATTACTAATAACATAATTTGGATTTGAGGGGTTCCCAAAATCTCCAGTTAATGCAGGAATATTTGGAGGTAAAATGATTTTATTGTGAGAGCTATCACCTAACTGGTCCATCCTAGTTTAAAAGGACTAGGTAGTAACTATAGGCAAGTGGGATGTGGCTGGAGGAGGTGGATCACTGGGGACATGCCTGGAAGAATTCATCTTCCCTGTGGTCCTTTTCTCCTCTACCCTTCCCTATATTCCTCCTGACCACCATGAGCGGATCAGCTTTCCGCTGCTGGACCCTTACACCATAATGTTCTGCCTTACATTGAGCCCAGAGCTACGGAGTTGAGAACTCTGAAACCATGATCCCCAAACAAACTTTCCTCCTCTAGGTCAGTCTTGTCAGATGTTTTCGTCATAGTGACAAAAAAAGCGCTGACTAAAACATCATGCATGATGTGATCTTTAATTTCAGCACTAGTCTTTAAAGACCTTTAAAGGCATAATCTTGAGTTGATATATATTTGCATCCCTCATGGACAACTAATAATGATAATAAATAATGATGGCGATGATTCATAAACTAACGGGCATTTAATAACTCACTATAGCGTATCAAGTTCAACTCAATGGTATTTATTAGGTAAAATTTACTTCAAAATGTGTAGATGCTACAGTGGTTATTGTGCAAAAGAATAACAATTAAATTTGTTTATATATCCATTGGAACACTTAAATATTACTTACTGAGCACCCATGATGTGCCAGACACTGGGGATTAAATCCTAAACAACACAGATATGATCCCTGACTTCATTTTACTAGCATCCTAAACAAAGAGACCACAAAACAAGCAAACAAGTAAACAAAAAAAAAATAAAGAACATAAGGGTGAGCTGTGATCAATGTTTTAAAGGAAATGGGGCTAGGACTGCCTTTGGATGGTAGAAACTCAAAGCTGCAATCCAAAGGATGAGGGAGAACTCACTATATAAAGGTGGGAAATGAGTGCTTGAGCCAGGGGATAGTGCCATATGAAAAATTACAGGGAAATTGAAATTTTTGTATTACAGAACAAAATGAGAGTATATAACAATATGGATTTAGTGGGAGGAAAAGTTGTTGAAATTGTGGATAAAAAAGAAATTATCTTCAATGGAAAAATATATATGTATTTTGTGTGTTTTGAGTATTTTTATTAATTGTACATATTAGCTTATCTATTTTGTGAAATTCTGAACTACTTAACTCACATTCTATCATGCTCAAAACACCTAGTATAGTGCTGTCCCCTAAGGAGATGGTCATTAAACACATAAAGATAATAATTCTTGGAAATAATTTCTTCTTTTTTCAGTTTATGGTCAAATGATTCTTTTTGGCAATCATCTCAAGAAAATAATTATACCATACCCTATCCAGGAGCAAATGTGGTTATTCCTGAAGGTAAATACACAAATATAAATAAATAAATGCTTGTCTTTATATAACATCAATGCTACAACAGGATAGATACCTCAATATTTAGGTTTCCACCTTTATGCAGTATGCCTTGGGGAAAGAACAGATGTGAAGAAATGGACTCCACTCATATGTCCCAGATACGAAATGTAATCTTCTGGGTTTTAGGTGGATTTGAACAAACTCTTATCAATAAAATATAAACCAGGTGTGGTAGCCTGTACCTGTAATCCCAACTACTCCAGAGGTTGATGAAGGAGGATCACTTGAGTCTAGGAGTTTGAGGCCAGCCTGAACAACATAGTGAGACCCTATCTTAAAAACAATAACAAAAGCAAAAACAAACAACTCCCAGTAACACATTTTCTGGGAAAGACAGGAATTAGTCATTGTGTAGAAAGACAGATCATAAACTTCAAAACCAAGAATCACTGAGAAGCTTATCTGTGTTTTACCATAGGCTACTGTCTATGGATTATATTATATTTCTTAAACTATTATGTTATAGGAACATGGATTGTAGCTGACACAGATATGCCACCAATGGAAAGGCTCATTATTTGGGGAGTTCTGGAACTGGAAGATAAATCCAATGCAGGACCTGCAGGGCCTTCATACAGAAGAGTTGTTTTGAATGCTACCTACATATCAGTGCAGGTAAAAATGAGGTCTCGTAATTTATATCTTTCTTAAAGACTTACTGAAATAATAATAAGAAAACATATTGAATGGGTTTAAGTAACAAACAACTGCTTTAGTCCATGAAATGCAAGCCTCACATAAGTCAATATATTTCTGCTCTCCTTTAAATTGTGGACTTAACATCCTGTAAATAATAATTATCAAAAATACTCTTGAGTCTATGGCTTGCCCATTGTCAATTCTACTTAAAATATGTGTATTGTTATTAGGCAAAGCTAAACTATAAACTTGCTATAACAAAGAATGGATCCCCAGGAGTTCTGGAAACAAAAGAATTTAAGCCATTCTTTAAAAAAAAAAAAGTATTTCACAAAACAATGGACATAGCTGGAATTATGAAGGCAAGAGCAGACTAATAAAAATGTCTTAACTGTTTGGAACAATCACCCCATTCCTTCATAAACCTCACATGGTCTTCTTGAACATTCAATGACTTTACAGTTTAACTGTTCTGTCATCATTTATTATTGCTCATAAAAAGAATGGCCTAACCAAAAAAACTATTAATCACCATTAAAAACTAAAAGTGTTAAATAGCTGTTATGGTTTGAGTAAGAGGTGCCTCCCTAAAGATCCAATGTAAAGCAGGAATGTTCAGAGGTGAAATGATTGGATTTTCAGAGATAGAACCTAATCATTTCTCCCTAATTTGAATGGACTATGTAGTAACTGTAGGCAGTGGGATGTGGCTGGAGGAGGTGGGTCACTGGAGTGTGCACTGGAAAGGCACAACTTCGCTAAAGCCCCTTTCTCTCTCTCTGTTTCCTCTGCCCTGTCCTTTACCCATGGTGTGCTACCTCACCTTGAGCCCAAAGCAATGGACTTGGCCATCTATTGTGTACTCAGATCTCTGAAACTGTGAGCCCTACATAAACTTTTCTCCTCTAGGTTGTTCTTGTGGGGGAATTTTGGTCACAGTGACACAAAATTAGTCTTTGATGCTGTAAAGGGTATAATATTTGGGGAAGACTTTGTTAATTGGGTAAACATGGGTAAGTTATTTGACTTTCTGCATTTGTTTTTCTCACATATGAAACAAGACTAAAAATACCAATTTATGGGTTTAGGGTAGAGGTTGAACTATGTAATTAATATATGTGAAGCCTTACATAGTATACCTGACAGAATCTACAAGCATTTGATGATAACCATTATTATTAATAATGTTAGCTCATGAATGGCATAGCTTAGATGTAAGTGTGAAGAGTATGTTTTGTGTATGGCATATTACATCCAAATACAGTGTGTTTTGTTCAGACTCCAGTAGATTCAGGTCCAATTCTGACAGTAAATAGATATTATTTGGAAAAATAATTTAGACTGCCTATACCAAAGTCAATGGTTTAAAGTCACTTCCAGCTACAACACTGTTGTAACAAAATGTTTTAGGGGAGGCTGCCAGTGACCTTTTTATGAGTGAAATCCTTTGTCTGCTCAGCTTTTAAACTATTAACAATTTTTTGCTCCACCACAGGGAGGTAGATTAATTGGTGGCTGGGAAGATAACCCTTTTAAAGGAGAATTACAGATTATTCTTCGAGGAAATCATTCTACCCCAGAATGGGCTTTTCCAGAAGGACCAAATCAAGGGGCAAAGGTCTTAGGTATGTGTCTGTTAGACAGCAAACATGTCAATTCAGTTTTGAGAGTCTACTTTAAAATAGCACTTAAGTACTCAGTTCATGATAGGATGGTATCAGGAGCTTTTATAGAGATTTACTTATAATAAATGGTCATAAAAGTAGTAGAAATATTAAATTAAATAATGTCCCAAAATTACAAAACTAAATTTAACAAATTTCTAAATGTGAATATTATTTCTTGTGTCTGGTTTTCTTTATAATCTGTTCTTCATATAAGCAATAATACTTTTTATGTTCTAGTGCATTCCTTTAAAAGGTCATTTTGCTACACATTATTGTGTTTGTGGTATTAATAATCTGTGGTTCATTTGACTCGGCTATTAATTACTCAGTCACAACTGGCTGAGCATCACTTTCCGATTACACTGGTGTACTGTAAGTATTCCTGTTTGATCCTGGAAGAGTTGGATTGGTCACAACTAATAACTTATTTTATTAATATTACTACATATTTATCTATATGTCACTTATAAACAGGTATTACAATTGTTCAACTGTGTAAATTCTAAATAAAGGGGTTCAAAAATAGTCAAGATTGAATTGGTCAGCTCTCCACTGGTTAATGTCCTGAGGCAGACAAACTACATATTTGGTTTTATGTGTTTATTATTGCAAAAGTTACTCTTCAAAAAACAATATTTTTTAACATAAAGAATAAAAAATAATGTATCTTTCCAATTCTATCCACCTTAAGGAAACTTGCATTAGTGAACAGTTTTTATATGTCTACCTAAGTATTTTTTAAATCTGTACCTATATCTATATTATATATATTAATTTATGGTAGTAATATTGTTCCTTTTATTAAAACATGGTCAAACTAAATATTATTATTTAGTTTAGTATTATTACACAGTTTTCTTTTCCAGATAACATAAATGCCTTTCCACAGTAGTATTTGTAGATAAAACTCTTTTATAGAATTTTGCTCACTAATATTAACATATTAAAGTGTATTTCATGTACACTTATTTGATGTACAGTTAATTCTAATGTTCTAATATTTCCAAATGTTGTGGTAAATATCCTTATCAATGGGTATTAGATTTAATTTCTCTGGACCAGATTACTAGAATTGGGTCAAAGTGGGGTTTTTTTGCAGTCCTGAGCAGATAACCAGAATTCATTCCATCCATTCTCAAATGTCCAATTGCTTATTAAAATACACTAGAATATTATTAATAAAAAGTTTCATTTTTTACTAGTACTTAACTCAGTACTGTATGGTAAATAAATAGGAAATTTTTCTCCTTCAGGGGTGTTTGGTGAGCTGGATCTTCATGGACATCCACATTCAATATATAGAACTAAACTGTCAGAAACTGCAGAGGCAGGTTCCAAAGTCCTGTCTCTGGCCGAAGCTGTGGATTGGCAGGTAGAGAACATATTATGTAGTTCACTCTAAAATGTTTGTTTAGGCATTTAATAATTAAAAATTATGGTCTCATGATCCTTTAGAATATATAAAGATAGATAGATATATATTAAAAGAAAAATATGAAAGTCTTTAGTTAAAAGACTTTATTACAAATTCTTGCAAAAGAGACAATGGAATTGTTTTTAATGTGTTTTACTTTTATCTTGGTCATCTCCTCACTTCTAATCTGTGGTTTTACATGTTAAGTCTTTGGAAAGAAAACAAATCAGAAGCCCAATGATGCTCAAAAAATGCTATGTTAAGTGAGAGATTTTGGTAGCATGTAAATGGTAAAACTCAATTTAGAATTTGTTTTCCTTTTACTTATTTATTTATTTAGTGATACTAAAGATTTAACCCATCCTTTTTTTATTTTGAGATTGGGTCTCTCTAAATTGCCCAGACTGGACTCAAGCTTGTGATCATCCTGCCTCAGCCTCCCCAGTAGCTGGAAATATAGAAATGCATGCTGCACCTGGATCAATTTAAAGTTCTTAATATCAAACATAGCATATTTATTTTTAGAGATCTAAATGTACATTTAGTTCTTTCTGATAATACCATGATTGCTAATCAGATATAATTTAAATTAGAGTTATGTAATAGTCTAAGAAATTTAACCCTATTTTAAAAATTGTTCTTTAATTTGGCACTTGAATTTTTCTAAGGAGGGAGAAGAGATTGTGATAACAACCACAAGCTATGATCTTCACCAGACAGAAACTAGAAGTATTGTTAAAATTCTGCATGGAAACAAAATTCTCATCCTCAATGATACCCTTGCCTACACTCACCTTGGTAAGTGGCTGCTCTTGAACCAAATAGATATATAATTAAAATGTCTGGAAATGTTCACATTTTAGTGCTCTACTCTGTAATTATAATGCTTTGATAAAATATATCACAAACATTTTAGCAGAGCATTTCACACAGATTGACTTTGGTACCCAAGGGGTATACTATTCAGGTGTTGGCCACCAGTAATCCCTATTGTATACATCATTTATTAATTCATTGAGCAAATATTCAGCAAAGACCCACCATGTCACGTTCTGTGTGGTAAGGCCCTGACATCTTCTATTCTATGCAAGCTTTTAGGAAATTATTATACACAATGGAATTTTTAAATCCTTGGTCCAAAACAAAGGACACATTTTTCCACTTTAATTTGCTTTAGACAAGCTATAATAAAATGTTAAAACTCTAATTATCAAGGAGAGAAAAAATAAGTAAATATCATCTGATGACTTTTTTCTTTTATACCTAACATTTTCTCTTATGCCCCACATTTCAGCCTTTCCATTTTACAGGCTCCTTTCATTTGAATCTCAGGAAATAAGAGCAGACAGGGAAGTAAAGTTAGGGAAAATTCTCAGCAGTTTTTTGTTTCCTATGCGAGGCAGCAGAATAGACTGATGGACATTTGACCAGAATGAAAAAGAAATCTAGAAAAACTTTCAAAGAGCTATTTTGATAGAGGCACGTGCATTTATCTTTCTGCATCACATATTTTCTTTAAATCAAAAGGAAAATGTTTTGTTGAAGAACACTTAATTATGAAGTTATAATGATTTGTAAAACAGTTGGTCTAATTAACCATAAAGCAATTGTATTTTGAGGTTTCACCTGATATATTCTTTCATTTAAAATACCAGACATTTCTCTCTGCTTGAAATGAACCTATTATCCTTAAAGTTCTGAATAACATTTCTAGAAATAGAAAGTGTAATTTAGGTTGTTTTTCCAATCATTAAGACATAAATGTGAAGATTGTGTTTGATATGCTACTACATATTTATAAAAAATTGTGGTCGATACACAACATGCCTCAGGAAATGTGGAGCAAATCAAGATACAGGTGTCAGGGGAAATAGCTATGTTTATAATTCTCCTCAGAGCCTTGGGTAAGTTTTTTATCTTTTTTTCTTTTGCATCTTTAATTCATTTTCTCATATATTAAATTATAATAAGTTAATTTGTTGCACAAAAGCATCTTAATGTATGATATAAAGTGACTGCACACTACTTTCAAGTCTTGTTAAGCACTAACTATAATTGCTAAAAAAATAATCTTTGTGGTGTAAACAAAAAAAAATTTGGTTGTTCTTCAGTTTATTAATAAAAGAGTGTCTTGATTGCAGTTTGCCATTTATCTATGTTTAAGAATGCCAATCCAATAGATTCATACATGTATGTTGACTTTTGGCATGCTAGAAAGGTGGTTAGCCTGTGAACTGTAAAGAACCCACTAAAGCCAGATATTATCAGCACTTGACTGTCCTACTGTTGCAGCTGAAAGATACCAAGTCCCTGGAACAGATCAGAGCTACTCATTAGCAGCTGATGTTGGCATACTAACTAGAAACATCAAAATAATCGGTGAAGATTACCCAGGTTGGATAAAGGACTCTTTTGGTGCACGCATCCTGGTCAGCTCATTCACTGGAAATATGATGACATTTAAAGGTTGGTATAATATTCAGTTTATTTTTCTAAATGAAATATAACATTACCACTTCTATTTTTTGTTATTTGTTAAATATTTCTCACTTCTTCAAAATATAACATGGAAAAAATAAAACGTTAAAAGTGATTATGTAGTTCAGACATTACCCTCCAAGTGAATTCCTTATTATTGACTATTTATTTTATCTTCATAGACACTAGAAATTATCAAATTAATTATCAAATTAACCTCAAGTAATAGCTAGGCCAACATCTTTCCCAAACAGAAATCATTTTATAATATCTACAACACACAGGGTCTCACTAAGTTCTGAGACTGACCTCGTCAAACTCCTGCCTTAGTCTCCCAAATTGCTGGGATTATAGGTGTGTGCCATCCATCTGATTCATTTCTCTTTCATAGAAATTCACAAAAGAACCTGGGCAATTTATCCTATAGATTTTCCAATAATTTGGAATTTAGTAATTACATTTCTGAAATTTAAAAGTTCCTATCTCTCCTATATGCCTTACCATAGGCGTTAGAACTAGAGACTTGATCAGACTCAGATTCAATTTTTAGGCAAGAATATTTCAATACTGCTGGCATATTTTTTTCAGCAGTAGACACATGTCTGATCATTTCTTCTTGTGTGGCGTTAGCTATCTTTAACAGTCATTGCATAGATTCATTAAATCACTGAGGTTTAAAGTGGTGGCATATTAATTCTACCACTCACATCTCATTTGTAATCTTGAATACTTCTTATAAAAAGAAGTTCCCCTAAACAATTCTTCAATGAACTTGAAGGACAGTTCATATGGGAAATGCAAGGAAAAGGCTTGATTCTCTCCTCATATTGACTATTTTCCAAATGAGTTGATTCCAAGCATCCTCCAGAGGAGACAAGGAGTTTTTACTTGTGTTGTTTTTGTTATTGGTATCATTATAAGCTCATAGATTTCAATATATTTTGTGTGTTCTAGTCTATTGTGATTGTTTTTGTGGTATTACTCAAAATATCTCATCTTCAGTCTTCAAAACCTTTTCATGTTGATGCCTAAATCCTTTTGACATGACTTGGTATTTCTAAGTCTTACTTTATGATGTGACAAGCACAAAGTGTACTATTTTTCTGAAACTCAGAATCAGTTCTTTCTCTTAGTATCCCTCATTCTTTTTTTGGAAGCTAATGTTTGGATCCCATTATCTAGGTACCAGGAATAGGCCATTTGCTCCTATTTCCAATATTGCATCTTTTATTTAACAACAGCTTTAATTTTAGAAAATCTTTATGTTGAGCTATATGAATATAACTTCTAACTGTTGGTCATAATCTACCAACAGAAGTTTACCTGATAATAATGACGATGGTGGTAATGATGATTATGGTACAAGATCACAGGCATCATGCTGAACATAAAGTGCATATTATCTCATTTAACTTTCATAATGATATGGCATCAATATTATCCATCTTTAAATATCAAGAAATAGATGATTAAAAGAATGGTATTGCTTTGAAGATGATTAAAAGAATGGTATTGCTTTGAACTTGGCTACTAATCTGTGTCTTATTTCAAATTTTATGATGGACAATATTCTCATGCCAACCTTCCCTGGGTCCTATACATAGTTTTATGATATAAGTAAAGAAAACACATCTGTGGATGCTAGGCTGCTGTAATATCCATTTCTTCTCTGTCTCTATCTTATTATTCTTATGTTCTCCATCATACATTCAGTATCTGACTCTTGAATTTCAAGACTCGCTTTTCCCTTCTAGTAAACCAATTCTTCTTCAGTGCATTCTATTATATATCAATTTTTTAAAGAAGGACTATCCTTTACTGTTGTTTTTCAGGCATAAATTTCTGTGCCTCAACTACCTTTTCTAGAAGATACAGATTATAAAAGTTTCTAACTCATAAGATGCTTTATAAAATTAAACCATACGTTGTCTGTTAAGCCATTGCATAGCATTTGACACAGAGTAATCTCATATGTATTGTTATTGCTATTGCTAACTAATCTAAAAATTATCTCTTGTTACCTTAATGGTACTTATTTTAAAATGACTAGTGGATAATTGGCAATATATATCCTGAAAGAGATTCTGAAAGATAATGCCCTTAAAAGCTCTTTATAGAATCAAGACTAATATGTCAGGTAAATTATATCTCATGCTTTGTGTATGCATTCTCAACAGGGAAATATTATCCTGAAGGGGTAGAAAATTGGTTCTTCTGGGACAAATAACTTCGTTATTGCAATAGTTTGTGATCGTTCAATGGGCCACTGTATATTAACAGATATATGATATATCTCTGTGATTAAAATTTTATAATGTCATGGGGAAGGAAGATTGCCAAGGAAAAAATGTCTAAGGAGAGGGACAATGGATAAAACAATTGAGAAATACTGCCTTTTCTGGATTAAAGGAGCAAAGAAAAACTAATAAAGTAGCTATGAAAATTTGAAGAGTTTTATATAACTTTTCAAAAATGTTTTATTCTATTTGTTTTAAGAAATTCTTATTTTTATCTCCTCCTTCCCTAGGAAATGCAAGAATAAGTAATGTGGAATTTTATCACAGTGGTCAAGATGGCTACAGGGATAGCACCGATCCAAGATATGCTGTAACGTTTCTTAACCTAGGACAGGTTTGTACTTTAATTTTTGCATATGTTCAAAATAAAATATTTGGACTTCTATTTAACTTAACTATGTAACCGAATCTTCAAGTAGCTAAACGTATAATCTATTATAATAAAACTTTTATGGATATATTACCCATTAACTTTTTAGACTTAGCAGCATTTGATTCACTTATTTCATGCCTTTATTAAACATCAGTAAAAACCAGAGGAAAAGTAATATAATTAAACATCTGTAATAGTGGTTCATATCTCCATTTTATTTTTGTTAAGTCCAAGAATAGCAGTTCCTGTTAAAATATTTCCTACATTTCTCAAGTATAAGCATGTCTGTATATCTATGTTTTCAAAAGTGAGAAAAATAAATATTTTGAGAGGGCTGGTGATTTAAGGAAATGGGAAATAGCATATTTTCTTAGTAAAAATAAAAAATTTTATAAGTTTAAAGTTGAAAACCCTAACCAGCTCACTGACTCATTCTTGTAGACATCTAAATGGTGACTCCTTGCTTAGAGGACTATTTTTGGTAATAAGAAGAAAAAAAAAAGAAAAGAAAGAAAGAAAACTCTCATTATTCATCATAAAATACATTGTTATGAAAAATAATTTCAATAAGTTAGCATTTCATAGGTGATAACATAAATATGTATGCATAAAAAGAACTTGAGAGATTTTTAAATTTGCATTGATAGTAAGCATATGTCTTTAGTTTTATTTAATTATCAATTCAAGACACATGAAAATTTCCCAGGATGAAAAGATCCACTATCAAAAGACCTGGGACATCACCTCCTTTAAATATATTTTAATTTTGCATTTTTAATGCTTACTGGGTCTTGGTATTTCATAGATTGAAGACCATGGCTCATCTTACATCCGAGGCTGTGCTTTTCACCATGGCTTCTCCCCAGCGATTGGTGTGTTCGGGACAGATGGCTTAGACATAGATGACAACATCATTCACTTTACAGTTGGGGAAGGTAATATAATAATGTCCATTGAGTAGCCTGTCCTTTTGAGGCAATCTTATCTGTAAACCCTGGAGCCATGCTGTCCAACTGATCTTTCCTTGAGTGTGGAAGGGGTGTATATCTCTGCTGATGCAGTAATCACTAAGCCATATGTGGCTAATGAGCACTTGAATTGTGGCTACTGTGTCTGAGGAACTGAATTTTTAATGTTAATTGTACTTAATTTACATTTCAATAGCCACATGTGGCTATGGCTATCTGGAGAGTACAGTGCTAGGGTACAGAAGAATTATTACCAGACCACGACCTAATGTAGGTTATCTAATCACTAAGCATTTACATGACTATGTTTTTAAACCTCCTCCCATATAATTATAAAGATTAATCACAAATAAAGATAAAGTATTTAAAAATATTTAAATATCTATTTAAAAATATATGCATATAATTTTAAGTATGTTTTGTTTCATTTTGGTATACAACATAATACAGACTTATTTAATGCACATAAAAGTCCATGTTTGTTAAAATGTGAGGTGGACACACCTATGAACCCACCTATTTTACAAGTACCCCAGAAGATTCTAATTCTAGTAGTTTGTTGAAGGGATAGAGAGTTCAATATCAAAGTGTTCAGCGGATTCACATTAAAATCAAATCAGACTCTACCTAGATAAATAATTTCATGAAAAAACGAAAGATATTACCAGGTTAAGCAAGGTTATTTTTACTTATCTGATAGTATTGATTGTAAGTTAACATATGTATTTGGGGGGAATTTTTCTTCCTTTCTGTTTTTTATTATAGGCATAAGAATATGGGGGGATGCCAACAGAGTCCGAGGAAATTTGGTTGCACTTTCTATTTGGCCAGGAACCTATCAGAACAGAAAAGATTTAAGTTCAACTCTTTGGCATGCAGCTATTGAGGTAGTGAAAACAAATTCATAACTATGTAAAATTATAATTATAATCATAATTTATGTAGGAATTGTCAATCCCAAAATGTTGTTGAAAGTTTTTTCTTCCTTAGAGATTGATGAACTAATAAATAAAATGTTTGTGTTAACTGAAGGAGTGAATAAACTTTTAAAAATATATTGTGTGAATTCTGATAGCCATTTTTTTTTTTCTTTCAGTTGATATTTGTTGGTTTAAATAGTTCTCTTATTTCCTTTTTCCCCAATATTATTTATCATTCTCAAGTTTGAGTACAGGCTCTCTTTGCAGCTAATTGACTGAGTGCTTTGTGCATGTTACTTCTTAACCCTGGTTTAGTTTCCTCCCCCATATGGAAAGTTAGAGTGTTTTAAATAATTAAGGGTTTTCCCCCTTTTTATTGTTTTGCTGATACTATAAATAAGAAACAAACTTCTGCCATCTATACTTTCATTTCTACCATTCTGACAGCTTACTGTCCTAACCTAGATTTTGAGTTCAACAGATGTCACCAGTGAATCCTACAGAACACACTAATTGCCTTGTCTTTTTAAAATAAATTGATCAAATTGTTAATAAAATATGACTTAAAAGAGTAATAACATCATTGTAATATTCCTATAATACTGGAATTTGTCCTACAGCTTGTAAATGTTGAATCATATTCAATATATCTTGTGACTGAGATTTTTTAAAACCTGCTTAATGCAGTTTTCTAATAAGGATGTGATGATTTTAAATGGAGTGAATAATTTCTTCTGAAAAGTGTTATCATAATTAAAATTTTTCACAAGTATGTTGTTATATGCTTGCTCTCCTTGGATAACTGTGTAATAACCTAACCCAAAGTATTTATCTTTGTGCTAGATAAATAAAGGGACCAATACAGTCTTACAAAATAATGTAGTTGCTGGATTTGGAAGAGCAGGATACCGCATTGATGGTGAACCTTGCTCAAGTAAGTCTTACCGTAGAATCACTAAAATTAGGAAATAACTTGTCCAAATGTGGTTAAAATGAAAAATTATTATTTGTTCATTCAGTATGTGATATGTCAGCCTTCTGGACCCTGAAAAAAACTCAACAAGTTCAATTATTTCAAATAAAAATATTGAGTCTAAATAAAAATCTTTTTAGGCTTTTAAGGAAAATTTGGTTTTTCTAAGCTTAGAATTTAAAAAACCTAGTAGCAACATTGGTTCTTGATTTGATTGGTAATGAAACATTGAGCACCTCATTCCACTACCACTTGCACAGAAATAACACTTCTGTGGTAAATAAAGATAAATACTGTAGGGACATGACACTATGCTTCTGCCTTAATAGAATCAATGCCCACTATTCATGTATTAAACATGGATGCATAAAAAAGCCAAATGACACAAATAGTTTTCAAATACCTTTATTAGATTATTAAAAACCAAGAACTAACCAAACATCTACTCTTTTGGCAAGGCTACAGGGAAGCAGGAAATTCTACACATTGCCAGTTGAAGGACAAAACAAAATAACCTCCACATAAGGGAATCTGACAATAGCTATCAAAATTTATCTGTGCATTTACTTTTAACTTAGCATTTCCACTGCTAGTAATCTAGCTAGTTGCCTTTACATACTTAAAAAATGATTTGTAAACAAGGTTTTTTTTGTTTTTTTTTTGTCACATCATTGTCTATACTAGCAGAGATTTGAAAGCCACTCTGTGTCCCTTAATGGAGGTCTAGTTGTATATGTCAAACAGTTGAGCCCTGGGCCCATTTAAGCAAGAAGGTAAGAAAGATTTGGGTGTGATATGGAGAAATCTTCAGAATAAGTGGAAGGTGTAGAATGGGATATATAATGTTGATTGTGTATAATCCATTTATAAGATACTTTCAGCTTTATCTATTTATAAACTTAAATGAAATAGGACTTTCTCTGAAAAAAATATGTGCCTTTTAGAATTGATTTTTAAAAATTTCAGCTGGCATCATTTTTAGTAACTTTATTTATTAGGTATAATTTACATAAGATTCACCTGTTTTTATTAGTATACCAGTTAAGGAATTAGTTATTTTTAAGATTATTTGGATCAGTATTTTCTCTATCAGTTCAAAAGTTATTGACAAGCTAATTTTATTATTGTCCAAAATAGATTTCAATGAAATAAAACAACTTTGTTGGTATATTTGATTCCTTCATATATGCTCTTATTAAATATTTGTTTCTAACAACTCAAAGAAGCTTTTCGTTGACATAAAAAATTAAAATCTGCAATTTCTCAACAACTTTTAAGACATTGTTTTAATGGTTTTATGAAAACCAAATATGGCCTTTGAATATGAATATTTACTAATATATATAATGCCATGTAATGCAGTTTTCACTGATTATATTGATCTTACTAAATAATTGAGAATGTTTATAAGAAGGTTTTGGATTTATAGCAATTGAAATACAAAACATTACCAACGGATGGGGAATTAAGTTTCTGTAACTTTTATCAGTTTATCCAGTCCATCCCAGACAAGAGTTTCTGCGTTGCCAGGAAGGGGACAGCGATAGGTTCAGGGGAAGAGTCATTCTTTATATGGGCTATATTGTGTGGGTTCAGAGAGAAAAATGTAAGCATTTTCTTATGGAGGAACAAAATTGAACCCAGGCAGGTCATAAATAAAACATAAAACTCAAACGACTAGGAAAAAGGGAAAATCAATAGAAGACAGAAGGAATTCAGATACCAGAGGATCCAAGCAAGACAGCTGTCCTAAATATCATTGGCTACTCTGTGAAGACAATCATTCAACTTATGCATATTTGGAGATGAAGTTAGTTATTGAGGTTATTGATCTGATTCAGACATACATAAAACTTTCATTAAGACCCACTTTAATTTTGTTGTATATTAATAATGAGCATATAAGTTCATTTACTGAGGGTATTTACAAGACACCTTGTGTGGTTTGTTTCATTTCATTTGGGAAAAAAATCTGAATTAGGCATTAAAACTTTTTATGCACAAAGAAACTAAGATTCTAAAAGGTTAAACAACTTTCCCAGATCCTGCATGTAACATTTAAAAAATATTTAATACTGTTGATGAGCATAAAGTTATCTTTGATCTACCATACATTTTATTTTTATTTTTTAATTTTATTTTTAGTTGTAGTTGGACACAGTACCTTTATTTGTTTATTTTTTATGTGGTAAAGTATCATATCTCAGATTATATAATAATAATGTTGGTTTTTTGTTTATTTGAATTCTACAGATCAGTGGAGAACAAATAACACAGGTGTATTCACCAGGTGGAACAAGATACTTAGTTAATTGGCATGAACATACTTTATTCAAAGATATGAAAAATTGTGCTCTATATGTGTAATAAGAATTGTAATACATTCCGCTATCATGTATTTAAAAAATAAAATCAATTAAAAAAATATTTAAGGAGCACCTATCTCTGAATTTTTGTTCAGGATTCAGGAATGATGGTGATGAATGAGCCTAACACAGCATTTTCTCCAGTGAAGCTTACATTCTAGTAGGAAGGAGAAACTAATACTTCACAAATAATAAATAAAATATCAAGTGAAAATATTTTAAGACAATATAAAGTAACTGAAGTGCTATTTTGAATCAAGTGGTCAGAGAGAACCTTTTAAGGAAGTGACTCTTGAAAACGGTCTGACCAAAAAGAGCCAGCAACAAAGAAGTGGGCAGGGACAGCATTTACAGACAGCAAGTGGTTTGATTGTATTTCAGGTTTAGGTTTGTTTGAGTCTAATCCCCATCCTCTTTCTAATAAAACTCATAGTTGTCTAAACAGATATAATAATTAGAGTGCTAACACTAAATCAAACTTTTACAAATGAGTATCCAATTATACTGAGTATCAGTGAAGAGACAAATTATATAAAGTTAAAGAATAAGTAGAGTAAGCCATAAAAACATTAGATCATCTCATTAAAATTTACATTGGAAATACATATACATATATACATATATATATACATACATATGTAGTATATATACACACACATAAAATTTTATAAACTTTGATACTGCTTATTAAGCCAAGGTAGCACACTTGTAATATTAATTATCAGTGTCTGTATTTTCTGTCAAGGAAAATCTAATCCCATGGAAAACTGGTTTGGCAATGAAGCCCATGGAGGTTTATATGGCATCTATATGAACCAAGATGGTCTTCCTGGATGTTCTCTTATACAGGGATTTACTATTTGGACATGCTGGGATTATGGAATTTACTTTCAGGTAAATGTGACTGAAGATGGTGATTATTTTCTTTTACGATTGTTCTTAGCAGTATATAACATCCAAATTGTTTTGCAGACCACAGAGAGTGTGCGTATCTATAATGTGACTCTGGTTGATAATGGAATGGCTATTTTTTCAATGATTTACATGCCAGCTGCTGTTTCTCACAAAATTTCCAGTAAAACGGTACAGGTTAAGGTAAGAAATGAACAAGGAGAAAGGGAGAGTAATTGAAATAAAATAGCTATTTAATAAAAATAATCTCCTAGACTTCCACACCTCTCTGGCTTTGCCATCATGCCCTCTGCCAAAAAACTTTATTCCTACCTCTCCTCTGCCTTCCCTCACCTATTCTTGTTTTTCATTTACTAATCTTTCAACAGTTCCTTAAATTTTCACTCCTACTATAAAGCCTTTCTTGAAACAGCATAGGTGTTTCAAGACAACACCTCCTTCACTTCAAGATCCTACAGTGCCTTGGATATATTGCTGTCACAGAAACATAACATGTCATTATATCATTATATCTCTTCCTTTGAGTATCATTCCAATTGGGGCAGCAATCAGACCTTTTTCATCTCTGTTTAAAGTATGATCCATTTCTAAAATGTATGGTTGTTGCTCTGCTACTGTAGAATTCAATATTATTGATTATTGGGTTTTATTTTAGGAAGCACTGTTATTAACACTATATTGTTTGACTTTTTAAAAAACAGAGCTCATTAATTGTTGGAAGTAGCCCTGAATTTAATTGTTCTGATGTTCTAACTAATGATGATCCCAATATTGAGCTCACTGCTGCACATCGGAGTTCCAGACCTCCTTCAGGTGAAAACTTGAAATTTCAATGTTGACGTTCACATAAATGCATATTCACATTCTTTTAACATTTTTTCTCTCTGTAAAAGGTGGAAGAAGTGGGATTTGTTGGCCTACCTTTGCTTCAGCTCATAACATGTCACCCCGGAAGCCCCATGCAGGGATCATGAGTTACAATGCCATCAGTGGCCTTTTGGATGTCTCAGGCAAGTTTAAACACAGACTTTATGAATCCATACAATTAAGTTCTGTAATGAATATATAAAGTGCTGCATAACTAATAATGTTTTATTTTAAGTAAAAACTATTTAAATGAATTTTATATGAATCTCTCAATAATATTAAGAAAAGAAATTAGACAGCAGGGGCAATTTCAAGAATGGTTTCCCAGGAAAATATTTTATGTATTGAAGAATGGCATTTAATTTTTCTTCCAAAACAACAGATAAGTAAGATGATGTATTACTGTCTCCTTTTAAAACTGAACTTAAGAATCTTATGAAATTGCCACAATTATTGATTGGCAAAGCTAGAATTAAAATTCTCCTGACACAAAGTCCACTGAAACAGATGGCCTCCTTAGAAATTTAAAATAATTATATATAAATGAATGTTTGAATACATCATTTTCATTTTACCTGTTAAGTATACTGTGCCACACTATTTGTTTCACAAGTCTCTCTTCCCTGTTAATTTAACCCAGTGTTTCTTTGAATGAAGTGGTTCATAAATTAGATATATAAGGTTTGACATATTATTCCTCAAAACTTTAGGTCTCAGAAATGTTAAGCATGTGATCATCATTGTTTACTGATTCTTGCACGGAGAATACCCTCAGAGAACATTATATAACATGCTGCATAGATTTTAGTTGAACACATATTGCTTTAAATAAAAAATATATCCTGAAAATATTGTAAATATATAGATAGCATTAAAAATTTCCTTATGAAATGGAATCTTAAAAGTAAAATTACTGGAAGAAACATAAATAACTGTTCTTTCATAAGCCATTGACTTAAAAGACAGCATATGAAAGATGGTTGACTTAGGCTGGATTTCCTGGAAGCAGAACTTTAGATGAGGATTTTTGTGTTAGCAGTTTATTGAAAGAATGCTGGAGGGAAAGGTACTGAAGAAGGAGAAAGTAAGGGAAGTTGTTCAGCAAGTATGTTGTAAACGCTGGAATATAGCTTCAATTGATCCCATCAGAGAATTCTGGAAAATAAATTGCCAAAAAATTGCCTTACATTTGGGGGATGAGGAGTGGACACTTGTACCTCCATATTAATCAGTGTTTGGATATAGCTGCACCATGGGAAAGGCTTTAATTTCTTGGGTGATGTTGCTCCTGTTTGGCTAAAGCTAATTCTCTGAAAAAGATAACAGCTCTGAGCAGTTAACAACCAATACTCACAGAGATGGGAGATGGGTTTGCTAGCCTATATCCTTTTCAGTTCACTCCTAGGGCCACATTCATCTGCCTGCATTTTTTGTTAAGTTAGTTGTATGAAGTTTGTTCCACCAGTTATTTTAAGTTTATTCTACATGGTCACAATTTCTGGGGAAAGTTTTAAGAAGGATATTATCACACAAAGCTGGTCCTCTGATCATAAGTGATACATATCTGTCCTCCATCATCCTTTCTGTATTTCCTTCCCTAGCTAACAATTTTGTTGGTCAAGATAGCTTGCCTGGTAGAATAGCCCTGTTATTAAAAGTCCATGATTTCTGGACTTGCCTATTTATAGCTAACACTGGGCATATACCCCAGTGGATCATGTAAGTATTCTTTGCCTTCCTTATGTAGTGGTAGGCCTACCTCTCCATAGTGACTAGGGCCAGTTACCTCTCCTAGATGATAAATGCCTTATTTGTCACCAAAGTGACCATATGGCTTCCTGAGGTATCCATAGATTTATGTTTATTGGGACATGTACTATATGCCCTGGTGGAAACACTCTCCCTCTGAGCCCCCTGACCTCAAGATGCATATAATCTAAAATTGTAGGATTTGGGGATGTGGATGTAGCTCAATGGTAGAGTGCTAGACTAGCATGTGAAGTCCTGGGTTCAATCCCTAGCATTGCAATAATAATATTAATAATAATAATAATAACAATAATCAAAATAAAACTAACTAAATAAATAAAATTGTAGGATTAAAGCCAAATTTCCCAAATAGATTTCCAGACATAAGGTTATTCCTGCTTCTAGACTTTGGTACCATGTATTCTATTGTTTTCTATATCTACATAATGGCTGTTGGTTTTAAGTTACTAACATATTTTTCCAGGTTGTCATTTCTAAAACTAACAACCATGGTTGTACCTCCAAGAGACTATTCTATTATTCTGTTGGACCAACAGGTTCCAAATGCTGTAGTACTTTACTTGAGCAATTTTCCCATTGTGATCCCATTGTTGTATGCCCACCATTATATCCATTTTGCCAAAACTGGATTATTAGTCCAGGGTGATGTTGTGGAGAATCCCATGTAATTTGATCACCTTGTTAAGTCTCAGGATGGTAATACTTAACTGAATTTCTATAATCAATAAAGGGAAATTCATACTAGGAATACATATCAATACCAGTCAATATGAATTATTACCCTTTCCAGGGTAGAGTAGTAAATCTGATATAATCAATTTCAATTTAATTAATTAATTGGCTTCATGAGGAATGTACTAAAGACTCAACTTTGTTTTCTGTGCCGAGAAATTCAGGTCAGACACTAAATGGTAGAAATAACTCAACTGACCTTTCCAAGAAGGAGTCCCAGGTTTTGAATCCACATAGAGCCTCTATCTCCACCCCCAAGGCTACTCAGTTCATGAGTCTATTTGGAAATGACTGGGATAGCTAAGGACAAAGATTGGCTGACATCTACTGAAAAATTATTCTATTCCATTGGTTTCCCAGGAATTCTTCTGTATTGAATGATTTCTGCAAGCAATACATGTACTTTATACCTACTTCTACAGATTAATCCACCTGCTAGAAGTAGAACCAGAAGTGGAAATTCTTATGCAAGTAGTTTATTGAAAGTATGCTTTTAGGAGTGAGAAAATGAGAGAAATAGGATAAGTTATAGGAAAAAGCTAAGCAAGTATATATCCTCAACTGGAGTCCAACTTCTATCTGATATTTCAGAGAGCTGTGGCACACAAATTACACTCTTTATTTTTCCTAAGAGTCTTCCATATCTCCTACCAGTCAGTCATAGTTATCCCTGTATTAATGGTGGCGAGGAGTACATAATCTCTGAGGTGAGAGACTCTCAAGTGACCAAGGGAAATTCTTTAGAGAAGACAGGTATATGTGTTTTTTAGCCAACACTTACAAGAAGAGCTAGGGATTGGATGTACTGCCCCAGTAAAAGAGATCTAGGCAAAATATAAACAGCATCTTTTACTGTGGCATTTGATTAATACTCATCTATAGTTCATATTCATATATAATATCTCTTCTTAAGAGAAAATATAATTAAGAAGGGTAGTATATTACAATACCTACTTTATGAACTTTAAAGGCCACCTTTTGCTTTTATGTATTTTGAATTACTGGATTTTAAGGACAATGGAGATTGAGTTTTTGGATTCAATCATTTTTCTTTTTTTTTTCCACATAAAATATGCAAAGAAGCCAAGAGTGAAATAGTGTTTCAGTTAGGCTTTGCTGCATAACAAACCACCCCCACAACTTAGAAGCTTTTAAGAGCCATTTATTAGCTCATGGTCTGTGGACTGGAAATTTGAGCCTTGTTCAGCCACGTAGTTAGTTGTTCTGCTGTTTTTAACTGGGCCTTCTATAAGACTGCCATCCAGTTACAGAATGGTTATGGCCTGCTTAGTCAGGGATAGTCTTACTTTCATGTGGAGTGGTTGGTGCTTACTCTCAGCAATACTGTCTACTCACTGGGATGATGGGAGTATGTTATGTTTTGGATGTGAGGTATCTACCAAAAGCTCCTGTATTAATGACGGAATGTTCAGAGTTGAAACAATTGCATTAAGAGAGTTTTAGTCCATCCTATTTTGAATGAACTGAGTGGTAAATATTGGCAAGAGGGGCATAGCTGAAGGAAGTGGGTCACTGGAGCATGCTCTGGAAGAGTTCATCTTCCTTGTAATCCCTTCCTCTCTCTCTTCTTCCTGGCTGCCATGAAAGGAGCAGTACTCTTCCACCATGCCCTTCCACCATGATTTTCTGACTCACCTTGGGCCAAGAGCAATGGAGTTGGCCCAACATGGACTAAAGCTCTTAAACCATGAGTCAAAACAACTCCTCTAAGCTGTTCATTTCAGGTATTTTGTTCATAGTGATGCAAAGTCAACTAATACAGAATGTTTGTACTTACTCGTATGTTTAAAATATTCCCAGGAGCATCAAGAGAGAGCCAGCCCTAATACCCAAGTACTCTCCAGATTTCTGTCAATTACTCTTGTCCCATTGGCCAAACTAAGTCACAGAGCCAAGTTGAGAGAATATGTGGGAGATGATTATCCAGTAGTGTATATATAGGGCAGCAATACTTTACCATAAATAATGGTAACTTTTTTGTTTTTTTACCATATCAGGGAAGAGGTCCATGTACAAAAAAAGTAGCAAAGAATTTGTTAGATGAAATGTTCATGAAATGAATCTGTTTTACTGCTTTATCCAGAGAAAATAATTACTTTTGTATTATTTATGTTTTAGATTCAACATTCATTGGATTTAAGAATGTTTGTTCAGGGGAAACTAATGTGATATTCATTACTAATCCTTTAAATGAGGATTTACAACACCCAATCCATGTGAAGAATATTCAACTGGTTGATACTATTGAACAATCCAAAATATTTATACATAGGCCTGACATAAGGTAAAATATGAGAAAACTCAATTTTTTCTTTCCTATCTTTATAATTTTCCATTCTCCCTCTATTCTGTTAAAGAGCTGAGAAAATTGTATATTAAAATAACTAACTTCTACAAAACTTTAATCAGAATTTTAAAAATTCAGAATTTAATAATCTAAATCTAAGGGCTGGAGTTGTGGCTCAGTGGTACAGCACTTGCCTGGTATGCATGAGACCCTGGGTTCGATCCTCAGCACTGCATATAAATAAATAAATAAATAAATAAATAAATAAATAAATAAATAAAAGATCCATTGACAACTAAAAAAAAATGTTTTTTAAATAATCTAAATCTAAGTTTCCCCAGTTGCAAAGAAGCCAATATATATTAAAACTGGGTTTAATATATATTTCCACTTTTATTTCTATGTATTATCAATAACATCAGCATTGCTGGGCATGGTACTACACTGTGTCATCTCAGCTACTAGAGACTGAGGCAGGGGGATCACAACTTCCAGGAAAGCCTGGGAAATGTAGAGATCCTGTCTCAAATTTTAAATTGTTTAAAAAATGTTGGGGGTGTAGCTCAGTGATAGAGTGGCTTGCCTAGCATATTCGAGATCTGGGCTTAATCCCTAGCACTACAAACAACAAAGATGGAAGGTCATTAAATATAAAAGATGAGACAGGGTCTGAAATGTATTTTACATTGATACCTCTCTGTTAATAGTTATTAAAGGATAAGATATATCTCATTTCCTCTCTTTGTTATTTATTTATTTATTTATTTACTTATTTATTTATTTATTTATTTATTTATTTATTTATTTATTTATTTATTTATTTATTTTTGCTACCTGTTGTTTTCCAAATATCCTATCACAGGCACTCCAAAATGTGCTTGGAAATTAAATATCAGTCTTTCTAATCACTGTGATTATAAATACACAGAAACTTGAAACAGTGGTTTTTCTACTTATAAAATCAGTTGATATCAGAATATTTATAGAAGCTGGTCACTTAGATTCTATGACATAGAAGAACAAAACCAGTACTGCTGTTTTTTACAGTTAGTATAGACCAGGAATTTAGATGTAAACAATATTGGAAGAAAGAAAAATTCTATCAGAAATCTTTGGCCATTTTCAGTTTAGGGGACAAAAAAGGAATAATTCTCTGTAATTAAATAGACATTACTCAAAAAATGCAATATTTCATAAGTAGTTTGATTCTACATTGATGATAACCCAACACTTACCAATTTAATAATTGTTGAACTACAGTGTTTTTTGGATCAATAGAGCCCTTCCTCCTCACTAGATAGTTTCTATTTAGTTGACATTGAATCTTTCAGATTTAATTTATAATTTTAATATTCAGATAATTAAGAAAATATTATGCTTTTAATATTATATTTTAATATAACAAATCCTTTGAGATCCACATTTCTAGTGGATGCTGTTGGTGCTCTCTCAGATCTTCTTTATTAAGTAATGCTTTAAACGTTGGTTCATAACAGCCCATGATTGCCTGCTTTTTTCAGAATTTTGATTTTATCCAAAGCCACCTTGCAGTACCAATCAGTTCAGGAATATAAGGCTGGCTCTGTGTCTTAAAGTAATAACTTCAAATTACTGTAATGCATTTCAAGTTGCAGAGGTTTCCATGGAATCAGAATGAAACTAACCTAAAGACCACAGTAATCTTCTTTATTTTTCTCCAGGTGGCTTCTCTCCCTCCTTTTGAGAGTGCTGTTTCCACAACTCACACAAAAATCCACCTTTCAGGCTCTGTTTCTGTGAATCTTAACTAAGCTCACAGCCTTGGAATAAAAGTGTGCCACCAAACAGTCTACTCACAAATTCCCTTCCAAAAACACATTGCATGTACCTAAATATGAAGACCACATGAATAACAGAAATGCTCATTAAAATTCTTCTTACAGACTAGAATATTACAGTAAGGGACAACTTACAGCTCATGTTCCTTTTACAACAACTAAAAAGGAGAGATATGCTAGATACAACCTAATAAGATCTGAGCTTTCCACTCCAATAGCACAATTGTTATAACTCTGATATGAAATATATTTCTTCACAGTCTGTATCATGGTATTCTCTGTATACTGTATATAATTTGAATATTCGATACATTGCACTTTGGCATCTATTTTATTATTATAGCAGGGAACAATCAACACTCCAGGTAACTCAAGATAAAGTTAATGTACCATATATGATTGAACTGCATGACACATTTATAATGCTTCATTTCTTATAGTAATCTACAGAATAGTCACCAATATGTTGCATAAAAATCACAACCTAAGTGTTTCTGTCTATGCATAGACAAAAGTCTATGAGATTATGCAATGATCTGTAATACGCGAAAAGCTTACGAGTTCAGAATAGGAAGAGGCTGAATTTTCACAAAATATTTAGATTATAAAGCAATACTTTAATATTTTTAAAGACAAAAAGGGAGGGAAAAATAATAAAGACTTCCTGGCTCAAATAGGGATTTCAGATGTCTTGTACAACAGACTAACCATTCACCTGCTATATAGGGCAAAGTTAGTATATTATGAACCATGTACAAAATGAAATCTATCATTCAACAATTATGGGATAGCATATTGGAATTCTAATTTTACATCCCACAGGTACAACTTGTCATTTTGAAATATTAATGAATTCATGGTAATGAAACAAATCAGTACAATGGAAAAGCAGACCTCATTACAATGCTAATTATATATGCTACTTGGTACCACTTTAAATCCTTTAGAAGCAGGATTTGATCAATCAATATTTTTAAACCCTCTTGTCAACTACTCAAATATATTCATCTTGCTTTTTTAGCACAATGCACTAAATCATTCATTTTTCCTCTTTTTTTTCCCTAGTAAAGTGAATCCATCTGATTGTGTAGACATGGTTTGTGATGCCAAAAGGAAATCTTTTCTTAAAGATATAGATGGCTCCTTTTTAGGGAATTCTGGTTCAGTGATACCTCAAGCAGAATATGAGTGGAATGGAAATAGTCAACTAGGAATTGGAGACTACAGAATTCCTAAGGTGATGCTCACATTTTTGAATGGAAGTAGAATTCCTATCACTGAGAAAGCACCTTATAAAGGTTTGTTGGAACTTATATTGTTAGACTTAAGTTCATGAAATGAAACACATTTTTTATAATGTGCTATTTTTATAATGGGATATTCCACAGCTTGATTTAAAATTAACCAATAATATATAGGCTCTACTTTTTTTTTTGCTAATCTCATATCAAAAATAAGGTATGTGAATATTTTGCAAAAAGGTTACTTCTAAAATGCATTTATGTATGTTTCTAGGAATTATTAGAGATTCTACCTGTAAATACATTCCAGAATGGCAGAGCTATCAGTGCTTTGGTATGGAATATGCAATGATGGTTATTGAAAGCTTGGATACTGACACAGAAACACGAAGACTTTCACCAGTGGCCATCATAAGCAGTGGTTATGTTGATCTCATTAATGGTAGGTGAATAGTGTAAGTGAATTAGTTACTCAATGTATTGTATGAGACTTTACTCTTTAGCAGTTCCCAACCAGGAAGGCCACAGTAGCTATTTTATTTTAATTTTTTGGGTGCTGGGGTTTGAACCCAGGGGTCTTAACCACTGAAGTACATCCCTAGCACCTCCCCGTCTTTAAATTTTGAGACAGCATCTTGCTAAATTGCTGAAGCTGGCTTTGAATTTGCAATCCTCCTGCCTCAGCCCCTTGAGCACTGGGATTACTGGTGTGTGCCACCATGCCCAACTAAAGATGACTATTTAAAATTAACCATTTGAAGAAGAAGTGTTAATTTAATACATTTATTAATGAGATAATATAGATGTTTTAAAGAAAAATTGTCTTAAATATCTCAAAAAATACATTTTGCCATACTTAAACTTAAAAATATATAATGTGTTATTTAGACTACTTAAGAGCCTAATCATTTTTCACTCCCATGAATCTTGTGAAGACAATTTTTTTGTATCCAGTGTATTTTTTTCATATTTGATTTCTTTGACTTTTGAGATCAATTCATAAAGGTTTATAGCCCAGGTTCCTTTCACTGTGCTCTTAAATGACCCTAGTACAGAGGGTAAATAATGATCTCTGTAAGATGCAGATCTATTTAGAAGACCAAGGCTTTTTGAATAAATAAGATGAAATCCTAAAAGGAACTGAAAACATAGGTATGGATTTATTGCATATCACTGAAATGACACTGGGTTCAAAGATTAGTTAGTAACCAGGCTCAGAACTGAAGGGACACATAACTTGGATCAGACAGATTTCTGTTCTCTGGTAGTGACCTAAAAAGTATCAAAGTATTCTAGAATCTGGATACTGAGGCAGGAGTATTACAATTTCAAGGCCAGACTCAGCAACTTAATGAGGTGCTGTCTCAAAAATAAAATGAAAGCTGGGTATGTAGCTCAATGGTACTAAAGTTCCCCTTGGGTTTAAGCCCTAATACCCCCCAAATTAGAATTCAGCAATATCCCACAGAAATATGCATTAAACTTTTTAAAGAGAATAGAATGAAATAAATCAGGGCTATTCCAAAGCTTCATGTTTTTAATACTCCCCTTACTTGTCCCACCTGAACATGCAGCCCACTTGGACAACAGTCAGGTCAATTTCAAATGCCAATTTTCAGAATTTACAAAGCAGAGATTTGGGCAACAGTTGAGGATCAGTAGTGAATAATAGAGGAATGGAAAAGATGTTTTCAAGTTGTTCTGTTTTATGCAGTGAAGAAACATTTCATCATATTTTTACTTTTCCATCTTCTGACAGGGAATATAAGTTTTCATTAGTGACATGACATTTCTCTTTGAAAAGAATTTTAACTTTAACTAGTGACTGTCAATTTAAAGGAGTCTTAAGCAAATGATAATAGCATGAAAACTCATAAAAGTGTTACAAGAATCACTGAAGCTTGGGCTGCCCAAGTGGGGAAAAAATTCCCCAAGGTAAAATTACTAAATACTATCAAAGTTTCCTTTCAAATATTAATACTCTATTTTTAAAACATGACTTTTTATCACTCTAAACTTTTCGTTTTATATACCGACATTGCTTCTTTATGTTTATTTTCAAAACACACAAAGAAGTTATATTCAAACTAGGGTTTATATTTTGTATGCTAAGAGAAAGGTTATGCTATACTTGAGTTTTACAAGTTTATATTGATTTAAAATTCGATTGAAGTTTAGTCATAAATATTGATAATGCTTCCAAGCAAGCTAGAAAATTCAGTAGACATAATGAATAAATACATCAAGAAAATTCATCATTCCATACTTCACTGTGTTTTCACTGAAACCAAATAGAGAAGTTTGCTCTGAAAATCAAATTATACATGTTCTGAAAATGCCTGGAGTCGGGTTTTAAAAAAGCATCCTAGGTTTTTAGAGGATTTGATGGAGTATTATTTAAAGATGGCTTCAGTTCATCAATCATGTTGATCCCCCAATAGTAGCTGCAGTGATTGTCTTTAACAAATTAATGAAAACTAAAATGTAGGAAAATTAAAGACTAGATCAAAACAAACTTGTTTGGTGAATTTACAAACTAACTAATGAATAAGAAAGTGAAAGAACAAATTAAGCTGGGCATGGTGGAGCAAGCCTGTAATCTCAGTGGCTAAGATGGCTGAGGCAAGAGGATCTCAAGTCCAAAGCCAATCTTAGCAATTTAGTGAGGCCCTAAGTAACTTAGGAAGACCCTATTTTAAAATTCAAAATTAAAAAAGGGCTGTGGGTGTGGTTCAGTGGGTAAGTGCCTCCAGGATTCATTCCCTAATACAGAAAGAAAGAACACATTAATGAATCAATGGTTCAGGCATTCAAATGTTCATGTTTTCTGAGTACAGCCCTTATTTCTAACAAAATGACTTTGTTACATCATACATCCTAGCACACAGCCTGAGAAAAGTGGTTTTGATGTACATTAATTTTTATGTCAAAATTCAGGTTTGCTTGCTAATCACACACATTATAGTTATGTAATAAATATATACAGATACCAAATATGCCTCCTCCAAATATTCAATGGATTTTGGATTTTACCCAAACTCACACTTGATAGGGAAGAGAAAGAATCAAACATTTTTCTTCTTCACAGTGTGAGACTTGAAAATGATTGTTAAATGAGAGATACATATAAATCTACTATATTCCCCAGTGACATTCCAGTATAAATCTTCATCAACACATTAATTTACCCCTCTAACCTTAGGCATTGTAAAAATAGAGTAATAGGAATGTTGCTTCCTTGTCTTCCTTTTTTATTCAAAGTTTGGGATGGCTAGATTGATGGTGGGTGGATATGGGTAAAAATGCTGAACTTATATTTGAAATTAACCACCGCAACTTATTTTAAATACATCTATTTTTACTATTTTATGCTAGTAATATTCATAAATAGGAACATGACATTTCATTTTGCATGGACTTAGGCCCCCAGGATCATGGCTGGTGTGCTGGATACACATGTCAGAGAAGACTGTCCCTGTTTCACAGCATTGTGGCTCTAAACAAATCTTATGAAGTCTACTTCACTGGTACCAGTCCTCAGAATCTTCGACTGATGTTACTTAATGTTGACCAAAATAAGGTAAGATAGGATAGAAATAATGTCTTTAATAAAATAATATTATCTGCAAATATTTTTATCTGCTAAGGATTTTATCAGTCTCTTTAAATGAGATTGATGAATACTATCAGTCTTAAAGATCATTTTTGAAGAACCATTAGTTTACTACTAAAAATATTATTAGCTCACAGTTTTCCTCAGCCTGAAAATATATACAGATACCAAATATGCCTCCTCCAAATATTCAGTGGATTTTGGTGCTTCATATATGAGGCATGACAGTGATGCCTATGATGTATGATTAGCAAGCAAACCTGAATTTTGACATAAAAATAGTGTACATCCCAAATGAACACTTGGAATATTATATATTTACTCTTTCATTGCTGTGTGTGTGGGGGGGTGTGTGTGTTTGTGTGTTTGTGTGTATTTGAAAGAGAAAGAGAAATATCTTTGGAATTTACTTTAGAGATTGTAGCATATTACTCTAAATATTTTGTTGAATCTTTGTTGTTGTGACCAAATTACCTGACAAGAACAACTTAAAGGAAGAAAAAATTATATTGGGCTCAATTTCAGAGGTTCAGTTCCTAGTTAGCTGACTCAGTCCTGAGGTGAGGCAGAATATTATGGTGGAAAAGAATGATGCTCAGCTCATCAGAGCCAGAAAGCAGAGAAAGAATGGCGAACTAGGAACAAAATATAATTCTCAAGAGCATGCCCCCAGTGACCCACTTCCTCTAGCCATGTTTCACTTGCATATAGTTACCTCCCAGTAATACATTCATATTATTAACCTATCAAATGGATTAATCCACTGATTAGGTTACAACTCTCATAATCTATCATTTCACCTCTGAACATTCATGTTGTCTAACATGAGCTTTTGGGGGACACATAATATCCAAACCATAAAAGATATCTTTGATAATGTCAAACATTTGCTATAAAATGAATTCAGCTGGGATATTAAATTTGTACACACTATATCAGTGAGAAAAATAGTACGAGTTTGAATGGTAGTTCTACAATTTAGATTTTCTTTTCTAAGAGTATGAGACCTCAAAATCCCAGAGTGTTAGAAACAGGAAGATATGATGCAAAAAAAAAAGTGAATTCAGGAGTGTAGGAACAGAGACATATCTGCTTCTTCTCAGGTGATAGAAATTTCCATCCTTTACAGTTGCTTAAGTCAAAGTTTGGGAACCACTCTTTTTTTTTTTTTTTGTGGTGCTGGGGATTGAACCCAGGTCCTTGTTCAAGCATTCTACCAACTGAGCTATATCCCCAGCCCTGGGAACTACTCTTGACCCCTCTAATCTTTCATTTCTCATCCAATCCATCTGTGAATTCTGCTTAGTCTCCTTTCAAAATATCCACAATCTGATCACTTCTCACCACCTCCACTGCTGCCATCCAGTGGAGTCAACATTATCCTTTCCTTGTATTAAAGCAGGGAACTTGTCTTCCTCCTTTTGTCTTTGCCTGTCTATGCTCTATTCTCACTTTAGTAGACAGAAAGATATCTGCAAACCATCAGATCTCTTCTCTGGCCAAACACAAATCAGCTCTCTCCTCTGCCCCAAAGCCTGCGATGATTTCCCCACTATTCTCTCACTGTACAACAGTCAGAGTCTTCACAAAAATCTTCAGGACCCTATGTGAATTTCCCCATCCCTTAGTTCCCTGGCTGCTTCTTCTAATCCTCCAGCCACACTGAGCTTCTTTCTGTTTCTCAGTATACCATACATGCTACCACCTGGAAGTATGTTTCAGGTGTTTCATCTGCCTGGAACATTATAACCTAGATGGCTAACTTCCCCCTCTCCTCAATTACCATTTTCTCAACAGACCTATCCTGATCACCTCCCACCATTTGAGTCTCCCAATTTCTCCTACCATGATTTACCTTTTCTTTTTTCCATAGCACTTAGCACCTTTTAATATGCTTCAGACTTCACTATTAATGTTTCTGTTATCGATTCTCCCTGACCTCATTAGGATATAAGCTCAAAGAAGGCAGTGATTTTTTGCTACAGCTACACTCATACCAGGCTGAGATAGGAACATGACTTTTGATTTTTTTTATTAAGAGAATATTTTAATTTTAAAATTAAAAATGGCAATGACAAAGTAATGTGACCATTAATATTCTCTGCCACTCAAGATAATATCAAATAAGATTCCCAAAGATTCCCAATTAATCTTTCCTTGATGTTGCAAAAGCTAGTCTCTTTACTTTGTAGTCATGTTTGATAGCACAAAATGGAGAGAATACAAACACTAAAGTTGAACAAAATCTTGTGATAGATTTTTCTAAGTCTTATTAACAAACTTTTATCAACAATAAACATTTCTTTCAACATTAAGTATTCAATTTTGTGTGACTCCATAATACAGAGCATGGTTACGTGTTCCCTTTCTCTGCCCTTGAAATTGAAAGCCTGAATTGGACTTTGTTGTCTTTTTAAGGAACCCTCCCTTTAACTCAGTGATACTCTTCTAATAATTTCTTTCCTATGTATTAAAATATTCTACAGAGAGTGGTCAATTAAGAGTTAGGTTGTAACATCTGAATGAATAGCTGAACGTAAGCCTATTTTTAAAATTTAGTTGAATATTTGCCCTAAATCCACAAAACTTAGTTTTAATATTTTACAGACTGTATATATAGTTGAAGGACATTTTTAAGTGCTAAATTCTAATATGCTGTTTCATTAATCTTTTAAAACACAAACATGTTTATTTTTAACAGGCTGTTCTAGTAGGAATTTTTTATTCTACACTTCAGCGTTTGGATGTGTATGTGAACAATTCATTGGTTTGTCCCAAAAATACAGTATGGAACACCCAGCAAAAATACTGCAAACTTAATAAGCATCTGCACACAGGTATTTTCTCAGAAAAGTGGAGTACACATGATTGTTTGTGTTACTAATAAAATTCTTTGCAATGTTTTATTATTAACATTTTTAATTCCTTAGCTATTGATGAATACAGGAGAAAATAAGTTTTTGGCTGCGGTCCACCAAACACTAAGACATGTTCATGTATGTCGTGTCCTAAAAGATTACTCCTGATGGAACCCATCAATCTACACATAAAAATAAGAGGCTTTTTTTTTTTTAATGATGGGCTGCCTTTGCTCCCTGAAGTTTTCATTTGACATACATTAAGTTTAATTATTCCTATACCCAAAGAAATTTTGCTCAGAAAATTAGTACTTTATTTCTTATTTACTTCTATTTCATGGAGGTCAGAACCTAAGTTAGTTGGTAGTCACCAGGCATATTGCCAAGAAAGGTAGTATAACACTATCTTAACACTAGGAAGTAAATATTATAAAGTAAATGTGGCTTAAATGAAATACATGTAGAGTATACACTTACTCACTTAGCAATACTTATAAAACTATGATTCATTCTCTGCTTGTTTAAGTCTTTTTATGTGAAACAAGATTATTTTAATAACATTAGCATCAGATATGCATTCTGTTGTGTTACTGATCATCATTTTTAGATGTGATCCAAATCGTGGCTCACCATTACATGAATGCATGCTGTAGACCATAATATAAACTCAACTTGGGAGTTTTATGAGTGACCTGTACTCGTTGCCATTTATAAAACAAGTCTATTTTGACTAATAAAACAAATAGCTGATGTTTCCACAGACATTCCTACATGTCAGAAAGTCCTTACCTTCATGATCTTATCTAAACCCTTCAAAGGCCCCTTTCCAAATATCAGCATATTGGGGATTAGGGCTTCCAGGTATGAACTTGGTAGGGGCATATATTTCATAGAAGTCTCAACTCTGGTGCACACAGGGCAAGAACAGAGTCCAGTTCTAGAACTCATGAACTTAACCATTGTGCTATCTTACTTCTTGAAAAGCTAAGAGAATCAGTTTTATCCCTTTTCACATATACATATTTATAACTTAGTTTTCACAAATTTTTAACACACATGGTACCAAGCACCCTGTCATTCAAAATTAGGAAAAGAAAAACTCTCAATAGGCAGAATTTAATATATGGAATTTTTTTTAGAGCCAAAGGGCAGAAAACAACATTATTACTGCCTTCATATTGATAAATGTGTGTATAGGTTATTTTTATGAAAACAACAACAAAAAAAAAGTTTTGATTTTTTTTCCTGTACTGGGCCATTTGGTCATTAAATCCAGGGTCTCAGTCTCACATTTACTAGCCAAGTGCTCTATGACTGAGCTACATTCTCAGCCCAATAGCATTCCTTTTAAGTGAATTTTTGCTTTGGCATTTTGAATGCAAATATACTGTATCTGTATTATGAATACTGATATATTTTTCAGCTTATCCAAAATGTTATATCTGTGTCTCTGCTTCCTTTATTAATTGTGATAATTTCATGGATAAGAAATTTCATGTGATAAGAAAGTTACCTAGGATAAGTGGTGTATGCACCTTTAACAGTAGCTTGAGAGAATGTTCAACTTATAATATAATGTTCAATTTATAATACAAAGCAATTTCCTCAGATTCACACAATATTTATGTCAAACGGCATCCAGAGTTTATACTAGTAGGTATTGAGGAAATATATAGTAATAATGAAATTACTTCTTAATGCTATAATCTGTTACATTCATATGAAATATTTTCTTCTTCTCTAAGATTTTACTTTCCTTTTCCTAGTAGGCCTCCCTATGAAATGTGGTAAGAAGTTACATGTCTTATTATATTAAATTACTATTATACTATTCATCCTTTGGGCTCAATATATGTTAGTGAATTTATTATTTCTTAAACATTATTGATAGTCTGCTATAAAATTATATATATACTCACTTATATATAATAAGCTCAATCAATTTTCTAAAGTTCAATTCCCTAGAATTTTTTCATTAGCCGTGGATATTTCAGCTAACATGTAAACCTGTTCCATTGGCTTAAGATTCTTCTGAGATGTTTTAGTATATGCTTCATTTTTATTAGATTCTTTTGTACTCCATAAAAATAGAAACACTGAATAATAAATGCTCTTTTAAGAATTGCTATATGGCACTCCATAAATTAGATGGCTCTTAAATTTATATTTTTGAATTACCAAATGCCTCAGTCAAGGCTTTAAAATTCTGACTATATAAAGAGAATTACAAGTATAGGATTATAAGCTTCTGTGTTTATAACTAGATTTGTTTCTCATTTATGCTGTGTTTATAGCTAATTGGTTTTTAAAATACATTAAATATATAATGAGTATTAATGATATTATTTAAATAATTGTCTTTAATTTTGCATGTCAGTTCTATAAATGTTTTTAAGTTTTCAGTATGCTTTTTTAATGAAAGTGATAATATTGAACTTTTTTGGAATTTTCTGAATTAAACAAATACTAAGTATGACTGGCAATTGTGATGATGTAAATATATTTAACTGTGCTGTTTTGATCTTTTTCCATCATAGAGCAATTCCTTCCTCACTTGGACTCCACTGTCCTGGGTGAAAACTACTTTGATAGGACTTACCAAATGCTTTACCTTTTGGTTAAAGGAAATATACCTGTTGAAATCTACACTGCCACAGTCATATTTGTTTCTTTCCAACTACCTGCTATAACAGAAGATGACTTTTACAGTTCACATAATCTGGTTAGAAATCTTGTCTTGTTCCTAAAAATACCAAGTGACAAAATCCGTGTCAGCAAAATATTAAGAGGGGAGAATATGCGGAGGAAGAGATCCACGGGAGGCACAATTGAACTGGAGATTGGAGATCCTCCCACTCAGTTCCTAAGCAATGACACCACAGGTATGAATAGTAGACTCTGAAACAGAGAATGTAATTACCGAGTTCTCTGCCATAAATAATTCTAGCAGGGCCTAGTGAGCCAGGCCTCAGGAAATCCCACTAGCCCCACATCTGAAAATTCTAGAGAAGCCTAGAAACACTTCCTTTCTTTACTCCTGTAATCCCAACCAAATTTGAAATTGCGAAGGAATTTCAGACTTTGTTTTGTTATTGTAGTAACTAACAAATTAAATAAAAGGATTCGACCAATATAATAGATCTGGGAAGATTTGCCAAAGAAGGTGACCTCATGGATGAGAGATTAGTGATGCAGAATCTGTCAAGGAAAACCTCCTGGTTGGAAGAGCATAGGAAGCTATAGGCATGTGTTGCAAAGAGATTTTCCATGTTGTTTTCTGCCTAGAGTCATAGCTGACTTTCCTCCCTTATCCTTGTACTTTCTTGGACTTACAGGCTCAGTGCTTTGGAGTCAACATGATTTTGACTATAAATTTAGTATAGGAGTTGTAGTGGTTCATGGTACACATGTAAGTTACTCATCTACTCTTAGAACTCCTTGGTAAGCTCTTGCACATAGTGAGGTCCAAAGTTTACCACACTAACCACAAGATGTCCAAAAAAATTGTTGATTTATTTTCTATATGTCACCTAAATTTTCTCACACACAACTCCTCCCAATCCATCTCTTTAAAGCAGTTTTATCTTGTTAGATTTATTCAAGTAGGTGTTAGATTGAGAACATGCAACATGGGGATAGCAAAGAAGAACAGGCTAATGATGTGTTTTCCAGTATCAACTCGCACTAAATTTCAAGTCTTAAGAATAGCCTTACAAGTGGTATGGAGCGAATCACAGCAAAATATTGGAAAATGGAAACAAAGATGTGAATACAGTTGTACTCTTGGCTCTCCACAGCCTTCACATAGTATTAGGATACCCAGAAGTCCCCAGATGTCTTAGAAAGAAATTACTTAAATACTAAGAAGACTTCTGCACAGGCAGGGTCCTGGGTTCAGGAATAAGAGGTCTTAAAGTTAAGGTCTTTGGTTTCTAGATGGCAGTCAATAGAAATGAATGCCTCCACATGTCAAACTGTCAGAGGGAACCTGTTCAGAGTACAAACTAGGTCAGAGCTGCCACTCTGCAGTTAGACCAAGCAGTAGTAAGTAGTACATGGATACAAAGTGCCTTGGTATTGCTGTAATTAGATCACACAGGACCTCATGGTTGGGAGGCTTTCTGGAGAAGGCTCTCCTGGAAGGAGTCAGGGATGAGAGAGGAATCTGGAAAGATTGAACATTTGCCCAAAGGGGTATGAGTCATCCTACAGAGACTTTTTTTTTTTTTGAGAGAGAGAGAGAATTTTTTAATATTTATTTTTTAGTTTTTGGTGGACTCCACATCTTTATTTTATTTTTATGTGGTGCTGAGGATCGAACCCAGCGCCCCGCACATGCCATGTGAGCACGCTACCGCTTGAGCCACATCCCCAGCCCCCAACATAGACTTTTTCAACTGACAGGGACTAAAATTCCCTGACTGTGGATTTCAAAGTGTCTTGTTAGACCCAATGGCCCAGAAAGTCATCAGCTCCTTTTCCTGAATACACCAAGCTTCATGGTTTAGCCGTAATGGAAGAAACTCAGTGTTTGACTCCTCAAGGCATGACTCTGGATATGGAAGATGCAGGTTACCTAGAAACAAGTATTTAGCAAGGCCTACAGTACATCAAACCATTATTCTGACCTGAGGCTGTTTTTAGAAAGATCACTCTAACTACAGTGTATGGAGTGGAGCAGAAAGGGACAAGAATGGATATGAGATCCACTGATGATAGCTTTAACTAGGATTTTGATAGTGGAGACAGAAATTAATAATTGCTTAGCTATGATGTGGCAGAGAGGTGCAGTAGAAGGGATCAAGCAAAAGCACCAGGCTATGACAAAGAATATGAGTCATGAAGGTGCCACCTCATAAGGTAAGGAGGACTGTGGCTAGAGTAAGCTTAAGAGGAAATACCAGCCCTGCCATGCTAGAAAAAGAGAACAGAAACTATATGTAGTGTTGAAATAAACCTTACAAATTGTCAAATGTTCTGGGCAAGTAACAATTTGTTGGCAACTTAATGATAACTTTAGCAACTTACTAATAAACATATATGATTTAATGGATTTGCTAACTATTCTTCCATTCCAAAAGTAACATGCTATTTTTTTAAAAAGATATTATTATAGAAAAGCACAATAGTGTTTTACTTCTAAACAGAAACTGACATGGGAAAGTATTGAGATATTATCTCACTGTATTTTCATTTTTTCTTGTATTTGTTTTTTCTACCTTTGTATTTTCCTTAATTCCAAATTGAAATATATTCTACTGAGTTTTTAAGTTGCTGAAACTCACGAATGGTCATGTTTTTTCCAGGTATAGCTAGAAAGTTTTAGGATGCTATAATGTGAGGAGCAAGGCATACAAAACTAAAGTGAAAAACTCGTGTCTTTATAGTCCTATATTCTTTTGATCAAAATGTCATAATACTGTTTCCTTATAGGTCAGATGCAATTATATGAACTCCAGGAAATTGCTAGTTCTCTTGGAAAAGCCACAATTTTAGGAAAAACCAGTAGTATCTTGGGCTTTAATATTTCTTCTATGTCTATTACCAATCCTATCCCCAGCCCAAAAGATCCTGGCTGGATTAAGGTAAGACCATGCAATTAGAAAAAAAATGCATTTTAAGAATTTAGAGTATTATTGCTTATCTTATTTTAACTCTCCTTTTCTAATTGAATACAGTAACTTAGAGGATTTGTCTTTGTAATTCACTGTTGACTATTTTTTATGGAATCACTAAGGTGGTAACAATGTCATTCAAAAAAACAAACTAGATTGAAAAAAGAAATATATCTTCTAAACTCTGTATTGGTTCCACATGTGCTTTCCTTCAAATATTGTAATAATGTTCAAATATTTGTAACAGTATTTCCTATATCTGATCTAAAGGAAACATTGTAATAAGTTTTACATATTAGACATATTTGTAAATCAACAATGACTATATTGTACTTAGCTTGGCTGGGATTGCTGAGGAATGCAGTTTATTACTACAAAATGAGTGCCTTACTCCTGTCCATGCCAGGTGACTGCCAAACCAGTTGAAAGGTCTGCGTTTCCTGTTCACCATGTGGCTTTTGTGTCCTCACTCTTGGTGATAGCCCAGCCAGTGGCAGCACAGCCAGGGCAGCCGTTCTCTCAGCAACCTTCAGTAAAGGCAGTCGATTCTGATGTAAGTCACCACTGGACATTGTCCCTAAGTGAAGAGGTTGAGCTATAAATGCAGGAGACTGAATCAATTTAGCTAACACCGGAATGCTGGTGACCTGAGGCCCCTTAGAAGTTGGACTCTTATTGTGCATAACCTTGTTTAGTGTTTTTAAAACATTTAATTTAAATAAAGTTGAGCTTCTGCTCATCTGTGAGCTTCTTATGTGAGATAAGGAGCTTCTGCAAATTGTAAATTTATAATTAGGCATTCTGAAAAGTGAAGATTAGCATGTTTTTTTGTTTTTAAGCATGGGAAAGAGACATTGTTACAATTCCCTGTTGTTCTTTTTCCTTTAGGGTAATTGTGTCTCAGTTGGGATCACTTCACTTACTTTAAAGGCTATGCTAAAGGACTCCAGTAATAACCTAATCAGTGGCCTTAGTGGTAATACAACAATTCCATTTAGCAGCTGTTGGGCCAACTACACAGACCTTACTCCTCTTAGAACAGGTGAGTGAACTCTCATAATAGGGATAATTATAATTGTCTTTTAATAAACAGAACATTCTCTGAGGAGCTGGGATTGTGGCTCAGCAATGGAGTGCTCGCCTAGCACGTGTGAGGCCTTGGGTTCCATCCTCAGCACCACATAAAAATAGATGGGTAAAATAAAGTATTGTGTTCAAGTACAACTAAAAAATAAATATTTTTAAAAAAAGAACATTCTCTGATACTTTGGTCAACAAATTACAGAAAGCAGAATGTTATACTCTGTCTTGTTTCAGAAAATATTTAATCTAGCATTTAAAAATATATTTTATATTCAAAACAAATTGAAATAAGCATTTTGAGGATATACATGAAAATATTATGATTCATATATTCTTTTCATACACTGTTTTCTTCTAAATTTTATCACTATGTGTTACACTTATAGTAAGAAAAAATAATATACAAATTTTCAAATTCAAGAAAAGAAACAATAGCATAAGTGTAAATTACTTTAATATCCAATGAAGGAGTTCACAGTTGAGCTAGAAAATTGGCTATAGTCTTTCTCAAAGTCAATGCAAAGGAGAAAACATGAACATTATCATGACTCCCAGTACCTATCAGATCCACAAACAGTTGCTGTGGAGAATTGTAAGAAACAAAGACTCCTCTGACTTCTTGTAAAAGTGTGCCCAGTGAACCTGTACTAGGTGATACTTCAATGTTGATACAGTAAATACAGCCATAACTTCCACAGGGATGCTTATTATTTAGGAATTGATGGCATAACTTCTGCTAGTAGAAACTATTCTGCTGGAGACCAACAATATATATATATATATATAAAAATCAAAAACAGCTTTCTGCTGCTGATGGATAATGGGGTATCTACTCGAGACAGATCTCTATTAATCTTTCTAGCCAACCTGGGGCCCATAAAAGAACATTTCTGAAAGTTATATAGTAGCAGTCCCCACTTCTTACCATTGCTCTCTCCTGTCAAACACACACATAAGTCTGAATAAAAATAAGTACAAAGAGTGAAATAGGGGAAAAAATTCAAAACTTCTCCAATTTTTTAAATAAAAACCAAAAGCTAAAATAATTTCAAAGAGTTTTTCCCTTTATTTTCGTTTCTTCATGGTTTGATAATGCCCTACACCAAATATGTTCAGTCTGCCTAGCGGACAGCAATATCTTAACCTAATGTTCAATAAGAATCAAGTGATAATGAGTTCAATGTGGTGCTTTCAGACAAGTTCCTACAATGTTCTAATGATTGCTGGATAAGGACAGAGTCAAATTCTTTTATAAATCAGCATAAATGGTGGTAGCACTGGAACTTTACGGAAAATGAGGCACCTGACAGAAACACTGCCCCAAGAGAAGGTTGCTCATCTTTTCATTAAGGCAGAGCCAGAAAGTGCCCGGTGGCAAAGACCTGGTCTTCAAATTTGCAGTTTCAAGTAGGAATGTTCCAGAGTTACAAGATCACGGGAGTGTTAAAGCAGTAAAATAGTTTTTGACATTTTATTGTGGTAATAAAACAATAATTAAACACTTTCATTTTATACAGTATTTCTTTTTAATTCAGATCTTCCCTCAGTATATCTGATCTGCTGTGGAGAAAAGCCATTGCCGCTTCTTTGTTTCTCACTCCTCCCTTCTTCCCCCCTCTCTCCCTCCCTTCCTCCACCTCTTTCTCCTCCTCCTCCTCTTCTTCCTCTTCTTCTCCTCTCTTTCTCTGTCTTTTATCTGTCTCTCATCAAGTATGGGGTCCCTGGTTATATATAATAAGGGAATGCAAATATAGTCATCTCTTAATTACTTTTATCAGTTAGCCAGTTTATAGATTAGCTACAGTGAAATTACTGTAAAAAATAGTATATGTGAGAAAATTAACAAAACATCTTTCCCTGGGCTCTTTCTAGTACATACCCACTCTATCACTGCATTGCAGGAAATCCCCTTGCAGATCATACTGCATCCTGACAGACCAGCAACCGTGTCTTCTACATTCAGCTCTGCAGAGCAAAGCAGGGCCACCTTGGTAGAGGAGATACGGGTTGTGGCTTGTAGAAGAGAAAATAGGGATGTGAGACTCAGGTGAGGAAAGGGTGGGAGAAGAAGTAGTGAGATTGAATTTTTGACCAACCTAGATAAAGATAGTATTGCTAAGAGACATTCTGAGACATGTTCATCTATCAACCTACATAATGTCTAGTTTTTGTTTCAGTTCCTATTGCTACATATCACACCAATTGAAAATCTAATTGTTTAAAACAATAAGCATTCCATTTGCTCACAATTGTTTGGGTCAAGAATTTGGGCCTGGAAGCCTCATCTCTGTTCCATGATTTCAGGGGCTTCAGCAGTCATTTACATTTTGCTGGAGTTGCCTAGAATGGCTTGATTGGAGAGGAGGGCACAGGGGTATTTGTTGTACTATTTTTTCAACACTTCTGTAGCCTGAAATTTTTCAAAATATGGAGTTTAGTATCCATCACTATCTTTCCCAAGTAGAGCTGAGACTTCCCCACTCCCAGATCAGGTATGCAGGGAGGAAACAGAGCTTCAGCACTTTCACCTGTCTGCCTTCTTGTCCTGTGTTTCCAACAGCCTGTCTCCTTTCTCTAGCAAATAACTCTAAAGAAGTAGCTTCTGTTACTGCACAAAGAAAATCTACCCAGGTTCCCTGCCCATGGATAATGGGCTGATGGAACTCTTCTCACTCGAGAACTTCTCTATACTTGTTTATGCTTGAAACTAGTTCACTTGACTCATTTCCAAAAATTCTTCATTAGGAATAAGACACTGAGAGTAGTGAAACCCAAATTGGAACTGTGTGAAAATAATCAAGGAAGTCATTACTATGATTCTTTCTTTTTCTCCTAGGAAAAAATTTTAAGATTGAATTTCTCCTGGATAACGTGGCTCGGGTAGAATCCAGAACTTTTAGCCTGCTGGCACAACTTGTCCCTGGTGGCAGTGGCAGCAGCACTAGCAGTGGTGGCAGTGGCAGCAGCAGTAGCAGCAGCAGCACAACGTCAGCTATGGCTACATCTGCTCAGCTCTTGACAATAGTCATTAGCTTTCTGATGGGAAGAATGTTGTTCTTGGAAATATTTATGGCTTCAGTTTTTATTTGAATGTAACTATAGGTAGGTACAGTTCATTTTTTATGTAAGATATGTCTCCACATATGAAGATACCAGTAAATGTTTCCCAAGTAAAGGTCATGTGCTCAGTACTTCTGCATGGTACCACTGGGACACAGAGAGGATTAAGAACCTTGGTGGCAGAGACTAGGCAGCCCTACTGGAAATGTTATTCACATTATGAATTGCTACAAAAGAATACAGGAAATGAAAACCGCAGGTAATGTCACCACTCCTTTTCAATAGCAAGGGGCAGACATTCAGCTTGAGATGGTTCAGGCAGAGAACAGATCACCTGATTAACAGCCCAGAAGTAGTCTGGTTTCTGCCACAGCTAAACCCAAGGACTCAGGCAATGCCATCCAGAACCTATGCTCTCTCTTTTGTCTTTATTCGCCTTAGTGGCAGCTTCACTACTAGGCCAACTCCTCTCCCCAGTCCTCATGGCAAAAGTACTCACCAACAGGTTTACTTTCTACCAGTCCAGCAGCCAATGCAGAAAGAACAAACTTCTTTCCAAAAGATCCAGCAAAAATCCCCCAGTTATGCCATTGACCTGGCTTAGGACACATGCTTGGGACACTGAACCTATCATTGCGGCCACAGGATTTAATTAGCTTAGCCTGGATCACATGGGATAAGGTTCTGAGAATGGTGGAATTCAGATGCCAGTACAATATGTAGAAAAGAGTGATAGTGAATATTAGGGAGATTAGTAGGAGGGAAAGGTCCCTAATGGCTACAGTGATTACAGAAGATTGTAAATGTCACTCCATCAGTAACACATGAAAGTTGGTACTGTTGTATAAAATTAAAAGATCTGGAAAGGGAGGAAAAAGGCACTCAAGAATAGGACTATGGTAGAAGTAAAGAAGGAAATGAGAGTGAAAAAAGACATCTTTAACTACACCTGCTCCACAATGAATTCCTCTTTCCGCCCCCCCCAAAACATATTTCTTCTCCTGACACTCTGTCTCAGTTAATGACAATGCCATCTTTTCTGATCCTTCAGTTTGATACTTCTTAGACTTTTCCCTTTCCACAAGCTCCACGTCCCCTCAAGTAGTCTTAGTGCCATCTATATCCAACTAAGTGGCTCATCTCTGATCCTCATTTAAAATCACTGCTAGACTTATGATTTTACTTCTCACTTTACCTATTATAACAGTCTCCTGCATTCTTTGCTTATAATCCCCCACACTTTCATTCTGTCTTCTACATTAGTGTTGGATTTAGGTTCCTAAATAAGCACAAGATCCTATAACTATAATGGTAAATCAAAGATCATGTAGCTAATAATGGTACTCTCAAAGATTCATCACTACATGCAAAATCAATACCAAAAGCTCCAAAATCAGTTTTGAAGTCTGCCTTCTTTTTCCAAATCATTCCTAGAAAAGATTCTTTTCATTCTGCATGTTCCCTCTGCCTGGGCTATGTCCTGCTTATCCAGTCTATCTCTCCCAACATCCTCTGGGTTCTGCTCAACCTTTACTTTCACTAGCAAGTTTTCCTTACCCTTTCCCTTTCTACAAAATATTTAGTTACCCTCTCCTTAGGTATCTGTTTTTATCTTTATTATAGCCCTTCCTGTAGTGTACTTGTATTAAACTTTTATGCAAACCTATCTTTGTCACTCAATTATGAGAATTTAGAAGACCACATGCTTTACGTGTTATAAGTACTAAATATATGGTTTAGTTGACTGTAACTCGTAAAAGAACATCAAGTCCTCACCTCTGACTTAGGGGGAAATGTTGGGTAGTATAGGCAAATTGTAAAGAATATTGATTGGCAGATGTTAATCAGTTTGCAGTTGATTTCATAGTGAAAAATTTTCAACAATTAATGAAATAAAAGCTTCACATAAGAAATATTAACAAGGTTGAGGAAGGACGTGGGGTAGAGTAGGAAGGACACTGAAGTACTTCAAGTAATAAAAGCCAAGGCTAGATTTTAAATTTAAATATAAGGGAGGCAGGATAAGGGCATGCAATAAGACTGGTTTGGGTCTTAACAAAACAAAATGGAGGTTGAAACCAACCACAGGGGCTCCAGGAACAGCCCTAATACAAGAAGGAGAAAATCCTGGCTTCCCTTCTAAGGGCAGAAGCTAATTAGGATCCAGCTGTCAAGGGAAAAGTGTGTTTTACAGAGACCAGGTCCTGTCTTCTCATAGTTGAAAACAAAAGAGCATGGTGAGGCAGGGAGCAGAGTAGGGTAGGGGTGCAGTCAGAAAGCTGGAGCTGAGGGAAAACAGACAAATGACCAATAAATTATACTTATGCTCATTTTCTTGTCTCCAGAATTCTAAAAAAAGGTCACTTCTTCATTTTATAATAGTAGAACAGATATTGCTTAAATTCATTTTCTTTTTTCTCCTCAAAGCATTGAAATGCAAGGTCTGCTTGGTGACATGTGTTAAGTACTGCTTAATATATACTAGTGCACTTTTTCTTTCCTCATTAAAAGCATTGCTTTCCAGTTATCTTCACTAACTTTAATTCTGCTTGATCATGACAATGTTTGTAGTTTACCAAATAAGAAAATTCTATTTTCAAATCATTAGTAAATTGATTACTAATTAGTAAATTAGTAAATCTGAGTCTTTTATAAATAGTTTTTTTAGTTGCAGTTGGACACAATACCTTTATTTTATTTATTTATTTTTATGCAGTGCTGAAGATTGAACCTAGAGCCTTGCACGTGCTAGGCAAGTGCTCTACCACTGAGTCACAGCCCCAGCCCAAGTTTCTGAGTCTTTTCAGGACTTTTTCCAAATAAAATAGTTAACTTCTTTCCTGCTAAATACATAGCCATTTTTAAATTAAGACAAAGTTACTTAAACATCTTTAATGCATTGAAATGATGAGTTATTTCATAACTTTGCATTCTAACTTAACAATACTATTGGTTGAATCATGACATTTTGCTAATAAAATGGCAAAGCTTGACTTAAAAAAATGTAAGTACCACAATTCTGTCTACATTTCTACAATATATATATATATATATATATGTATCATTATTAATTCTACTTGATAAAACTTGAAATGCTACATCTTTATACAATGTGATTTTTTCCATATTTTTTATTGTTACATTATAGTTGTATATAATAGTGAGATTTGTTGTTATATATTCATACATACACATGATATAAAAATAAAATTTGGCCAATATCATTCCCCAGTATTTCTCTTTTCTTTCCTTTTCCCTCTTTCCTTGCCCTGAATTCTTTCCTCTACTTTACTGATATCCCTTGATTTTCATGATTCTCTACTTTTTCCTTTTTATTCTCTAGCTCCCACATACATGAAAAAACATATGACCCTTGATCTTCTGAGTTTGACTTATTTTACTTAACATAATAGTCTCAAATTTCACCCATTTTCCTGCAAGTGACATTATTTCATTTTTATTTATGGCTGAATAAAATTCCATTGTGTATATATACTACATTTCTTTACTCATTCATTCACTGATGGACCCCTAGACTGGTTTCATAAAGTTTGGCTATTGTGAATTGTATTGCTACAAACATGGGTATGTATGTATTGCTATAGTGTGATGATTTTAGTTTTTAGGATAAACACTGAGGAGTGGTATAGCTATGTCATACACTGTTTCCATTCCTGGTCTATTGAAGAACCTCCATACTGATGAAATACTAACTTTTGAACATTACTTTTGCCATTATTTTTACCCCATCAACCTATTTTAAAGTTAAAATTAATCAAACAGTTTAAATTATATTGTATGTTATTACTGCTTTTTAAAATTATTTTGTATTGTTTTCATTTTTTTTCAGGAAGCAACTATAGTGGTGTTCCAAAGCACAAGCTGAAAACAAAAATACAAGAATTGCTTGCTCATGAGCTATTTTGGTGCACAACATGAAAAAACCTATAACATTTTCAAAAACATATGCTAATGTATTTTTATAATATATAAAATGGAATAGCTTTAATTACAAAAATCAGATTTCTCCTAAATATACATTTCTTTTGATTCCTTATATTTGTGTGCTCTTATTTCATTTCAAAAAGCTTTCGGAAATCTCTGATTTGGAAGCAGATATGCCATTTCCAAGTTATTGTACCAACAAATCATAGAATACTTTAAATAGCTGAGAGCTATTTAAGATTCTTGATGAAGCTCTTTAGATCAAGTTGGAAACATTCTGAGTTTCTCTCTTTCTACACACACATACACACACGCTATACATATATGTAAAAGTTACATATTTTTTATATATGAAATTTTATATGTAGGGGGCATCTGATTTTCTCCATCCATCATGAGGCTTTGATTTCCAACAATCTGCCATTCTGATTTCTGAGCATTTTGGAGAGATGAGATTATTTTAGAGCTTTCTTAGAGTTATTGCCTTCCAGATCCATGGCAATCCAGGAATTTTAGACTATTTAGATTTCTGAGCTTACCAAACCCTGGCCAGTATTCTAAGAAGACTTTTCTGAGTACGTCTGGACCAAGCTTTTGAAAAAGATCAAGTTCACCCCTTCTCCTACTCAAAGTGTCACTTGCAGGGCTGGAAGTGTAGCTCAGAGGCACAGTGCTTATCTAGCATATGCCAAGGCCCTGGGTTCAATCTCTAGCACTGCAAAAAAAAATGTGTCACAACTAAGAGTGGGACCTCCCTTAACCCTAGACAACAAGAGAATAGAACAATTTTATTTTCAAGAGGTTAAAATGGGAATGCAGAAAAGCCACAAATTGACTTAGCTAAGTTAAGCAAAAGCTAAGTAACTCAGAAAATTCTAAAGAGAATCTTAATTTAGCAGAATTCCTAATGAAGGCATTGTAGATGTGTCTAGGGCAGGTACAAATAGTACTCACAAGTTCCTTTCTAGCAAGTGATAGTCAACAAGCTTTGGGACAGCTGAGGAAATTCAATAGAGTCCATTCTTTTGTCTTCTGTAAACATCTCCTAGTATATTCACCTCAGGTCACTGTTAGTTTTGCTTAGTTTAAAAAATATATATAAATATCTACCAGTTAATAAATCCAAATGCTTTTATATATATTTGGCACTCTATTCAGTTACAGTTATTTAGCATTCTGCTAGGTACTAGGCATTCTAAAAAGCGGGAAGACTACACTGTCCATCCAAAAGTTTACAGGGTAGATGGGGAAATAGTAGAAACAAATCATTTCAATACAGTGTGGTCTATGAGAGATAGATGCCTAGTGCTAGAGTAGTGGAGAAAAGAGGGGCACTTTTCTGGAGGGAAGGGGCATCCTGTTAGGATACAGATGAATGAGGAACAGCTTCCAGAAGATGATGCCTAGAGGAGTGTTGAGAAATGAAACATAGGATTACAAAAGGAGTCAGGAGAAGGTTTAGTGTCAAGAGAGAAGGCTGAAAGATCACTAAGTGTTAAGTACCTCACAAGTGGGGACTCTCCCTTACTCAACATTTTCCTCTGCCATCTCTCAAGATGTTTAGCCCCAATGAATGCTCACTGGCTGAATGAAGCATGGGGTATGGGGAATTAAACAAGCAGCTGGACATTGTGAGAATACCAAATGTGGACAAATGGAGAGGCAAGACATAAGGCTGGAGTGAGGGCAGTGGCCTTCAGTTCATGTGTCTGAGGAGGTTGGGTTTTTGTGGGTCACAGGAATACAGTTTTAACCAGATATTAAAATTGAAGTTTGGCTTAGAAAAAGTACAAAGAGGATACCAAACAAAGTCATAGCAGTTTTTCAAGAAGTTAGCCTGGAAGAATGGAAGATGAAGGAGGAGTTTTGAAGAGCAGTTCTTTGGAGATGGCTGTGCTAGATATCCCCTTTTCAAAGGGAAGGAGTTAGTGTACTAACATGGAATGCCAAGTCAAGAAAGAACTTTCCTTCAGCTCACAAAAGGCTTAATAGGTGTTCCCTCAGGTTTGAGGCCCACAATGGACTGGTGTCTGAGTCATAGTTGACCTAGGGGGTGGCAGCCAACTCTAGGACTGCAATTTAGGAAAAAATACCATAGCATCCCTCAATATAGCACATCCTATGTACTCAGATGCATGGGTGCACGCGTGTATGTGTGTGTGTATGTAGGGAGGGGGCGTGGGGAGAGACAGAGAAAGAGAGGGGGAGAGAGAGAGAGAGAGAGAGAGAGAGAGAGAGAGAGAGAGAGAGAGAATATGAATGAGATTGATTAATTTCAAGCAATAGGGAAGCTTTAAATCTTTTCCAGGACTGCTGCCTAGAAGGGAAGCAGATTGCAGGAAAAGGAAACTGAGAGGGGGCTACTAGATGCCTAGGAGCAATAGAAAAAGTTCAACCAAGCAGCTGTAATAGAAATAGTCAAAATTTTAAGGAAACTACAGGTAAGAGGTCCCTGACAATGAGGTCTTTGGAGAACACATGAAAGCCCCTTCATGAGGGACATTGCCATGTCCAGGAAGGACTGATACTCAATACTGGATCATATACCATCAAATAATTCAGCACTTTCATATTCTACTCAATTCCTACCTTAATGGGGTGAAAACCTTCTGTTCTTAAATGGGGAGAAGGAGAGAGAATCAACACGCCCTACTCTATGCTAAGATATAAAAATCAAGTTTTCCAGTGCAAATCAGGTTTATTTTTCATTCCATGACGCTGCCTGTCTGTTAGGAAATTAAATTCCACGAACTGCAATTTTAGCATTGATGGAACAAATTCCTACATTTGGGTTCTGGAAAAGATACAAAAATGTCTTTCACATCAGAACACTGTGAAAACCACAAAATTGGCACCATCTGCACTCTTGCCTTACCTAACAGTTTTAATCTGTTGGAAGTTTTCAGTCAAAAATTTTCTGCAGATTTTTAAATAAGGCAATTTTTCTAATATATTTGGCAATAAAAGGAATTTCTAAAAATTTGCTACTTGGCTAGACTTTGTTAAAAAGTTTCTGATTTAAATGTTTACAACTGTCTACTTTTTAAGAACTTTCTGGAATTATCATAGTACATACCCATGATGCTTTATACTAGATAAATTGCTTTTTCAACTACTACTTTTGAAAATGGATGAATTATTAGGGACCCATAGGCAATATGGTTTCCCATAGCCTTCATCCATTTGATGGCCACTTATTTTATAATAATAATAACTATTATTATTAACTTTTAAATTATTTACTTTTGAATATTTATCTGACATTTCTAGGAAATTAATGTTTAAATTCTTAAAATACTTGTTAATTTAAAAAGTGGCTATTTAGCTGCTAAACAAGTCATAAAAATCCTCTGGTATGCTAGTACTTATGCTATTATAATATATATGTGTATATATTGGTTTTCATCTACAGTTCCTGACTCATAATCCTTCCCTAAGACAGACCACATAAAATATAATTTTTCCTACTATTTCTAATCTTCTCCACCTTGCTTGGGAGATGATAAGACTCCCACTTCAGAAGGGGTCCTGTCCCATACTTGAGGGAGAAATCCTGCACAGAGAGGCCAAAAGGCTCTGAACAGACAAGACAGGCCTTGCTGTGTTTTCCCACCCAGCTTATTCATATTAGATGTTGTTTTAGGTTTTTTTTAAAAGAGAGAGTGAGAGAGAGAATTTTTTAATATTTATTTATTTATTTATTTTTTAGTTTTTGGCGGACACAACATCTTTGTTTGTATGTGGTGCTGAGGATCCAACCCGGGCCACACACATGCCAGGCGAGCAGGCTACCGCTTGAGCCACATAGATGTTGTTTTAGTCAGCTTTTTCACTGATAAGACCAAAAGACCTGATAAGAACAACATAGAAAAGAAAGTTTATTTGGGGCTCATGGTTTTAGAGGTCTCAGATCATCGATAACTGACTCCATTCCTCTGGGCTCAAGGTGAGAAGAGTGTGGTAGAGGAAGGCAGCTCAGGACATGGCCATCATGAAGCAGAGAGAGCATTCCTCACCAGGGACAAAATACATACCCCCATGCACACCTCCAATGACCCACCTCCTCCAACCACTTCCCTTCTTACTAGGTTACCACCCAGTTAATCTCTAATTTTTCCTACTCAGTATTGATCTTTCCAGGACTTGAAAAATTGGCAAAGTAAATATGATGTTTCAGTTTTGGTCAATGTAAGGAACAAAGAATGGGAAAGTAATGAGAATACTTTCCTGTATTTCTCATGGCAAGTAAAATGTTTATATCTTATACTACTGTCTCCCCTTTTTCCTAAGCTCCTTCCTCTTCTGATTGGTGCCATGACTTCTAAATGGCCCATCTGCTTTTAACTATTATTTTTATTGCAAAAAGTACTGTCCTATATAATCCTCCTACCAGTTATAACAATACTATTGATGAAATGGAAATTGACCACATGCTTACTAAGGGCCATATGAGATGTTGAGTGTTCTACATGACTCTCCTTAAAATAACTCTATAACATTATCACCCTTTTTCCAGACAAGGATACTCAAAACCAAAAAGATTAAGAAAATGCCCAAGTTCACAGAGCTACTGATGATAAAGTAGAGATTCAAACATAGGCAATCTAACTCCAGAACCCTAGGTTCCAAGTTTTAATTGCCTATCATTTTTCAAGCATGAAAGAGTGTTCCATTGTAAAGAGAGTTTTTAGTAAAATATGTTTCTGTCCAAATTCCTGTTCACATTTGAGATTTATACTTTACCATTTCTATGCTCTCAGGCAAGTTCTTAGTTTTCGTTATTCTTGATTTCATCACCAATAAGATCCTGAAAACATTCATCTTGTGGTGTAGTGTTTCAGAACTGATGATATCATATGTATGGTACATAATGTAGAGCTCAACAGGTGGTAAGCTTTCAGTAAATGATAGCCACTCTTGTGGTTTTTATTACCATAATGTTACCTATGTCATGTTAATCCTTAGCCCAATAAATCATTAAGCTTCTTATTACACTGGAATAGTGCCTAGGGTGTCATAAGCACTATGTGAGTGCTAGTTAGAATCGTTGGCTGAGCACAGGGCCACCTAAAACAAAGACTATTTCCCAGCTTTTTCTGTACAATTTCTGTG